GTATATTGTGAAAATATGGTACAGAGAGATTTGGATATTGTTACATCCCTAATCGTGAGACTCCACACCATATCATGAGCTTTCCCACGGTATTGCAATAAATATCCTACTGTGAGGTTCATACTGTGATGATATTGTATCGTGAGACTTGGATATCATTACACCCCTTATGCATTAATATACCATGCATAATACATATTTTATTTCCTAATGTGGAAATAAAATATAGCAAGATATAGCAAAAACGGCACTATATTCCTCATTAAAATAAAGCTGATTTCTTGTACCTTTTCTGAAATCTTATATAGTACTTTTTTGTGGTCAAATGCAAATTAAGAAATATGGAGAATAGAAGAATGGATTTCAACTCCCTTAAAAATACATTGACAAGTTCAAGGGAGTCTGTGTTGTTTTGACCATCCATGTTCTCTCATGTTACTTCCCTTGTGTTAGGTACATGCAGTATTTCCATAGGCTTGGATTGGGAAGCCTGACAAAGCACTCATAGGTCAGACCTGTCAGTAGTAGCAGGTGTAACAATATTAGCTTTGGTTTATAGGTGTTCTTCATTGGGGTGTGCAGGCGAAGGTGGACATGGGTACATCAGGAGACTTCTACGCAGTTAAGCCAAAGGGAATTTGATTTTGTTTTGGAAGATTAGTAGAGGGACCGCTTGTTTCTTGAACGTTGGGTTGGTCATGTGGAGAGGCCATGTGATCCCAGCGTTCTACCTGACATAGAGTTAAGGAAAGGTGGGACACTATTACATAAGGCAACAATGTATGTAACAGTATGTAATTGACGCATTTAAACATGTTGTTCAGCACATTACTCTGACCATTTCCTGACATCTTTTTTTTCACTATTCTCCATTCACGCCTTTTAAATCTTATATAAAGCCTTATGTAATGTTACATCCATTTCTGAGTGGAATTTCCTCTGTTAAATGTCTTCCTGGTGGTGCACTGTTGCTCTTAAGTACACCTTACAGAGGCCTAAAACCTCCCTTCATTGCTGATGCATATCTTTCTCTCAAGTAAGTCCCTTCCTTATAGAAAGTGTATAGAAAACATTGCAGGGGTTAGACCCTGCTCAGAGACTGGGCTCAGATCCATCTGCTTTACATTCAAACATCTCATTTTAACACACTAACACGTCCTATCAGCTACAGCATCTTGGGCATGTAGCAATGACCAAAGAAGTGCCAGTGGGAAGAATAGGATCTAGTGCGTATGTCCTGGTCTGAAGACATGATAGAGGAAGTCTGTATGCACAGTTGACAATTAAAAGTGGAGTGGTTTACAGAAGCACACATATAGCTCATGGTAATTGAATGCATACATGTGAAGAATGCTTTGAACCAGGATTGGAAAGCCCTGTTGTGGCGTTATCAGTGTTAGTCCCACTAGAAGTTCACACTCTTTCCCCAAAGCCACAATAAGTGAGCGCTGGCTGTCCTGCTGAAAGGGGTGTGGGATGATGTCACTCTTCATAGAGTTGGACACTTGGAATGTGCTCCATCCAGATGAATGAAAAATCCATGTGATTCCTATGGACTGCTTTAGGGACCCCTCCTCTGGCACCAGTAGCCATCTTCAGTGAGGGGGCCTCGGGAGGCCCTCTCTTGTGGCTGACGTCATTTCAGCAACACTATTATGATGAGATTAGTGTGAGCTGCTCACAAAGCCCTGCTGCAGCAGTGTCCCATCTCTCTTTATTCACCCTCTGCTTTTTAACATCCACACGTTTTCTATCACTCCATTATCAGACAGACTTCCTTTACTATTTTTCCCCTTTTTCTCTGGCCTAAATCCTGATTTATCCTTCGTTTTACTTTTCTACTGGGGTACACAGAGTCTTATTTCCTGGGCTCATATGCATTTCAAAAGGTGCAGAGGCGCCTTGTTCCAAACTGCAGAATAGGGCAGAGCAATGGGGTGAATATTAAAACACTCCAAACTAGTTGAATTTACTCAAGTCTGGTTAGTCCTAGAAGTGAGTAACACATGGTCACAACTTTACAGTTTATGTTTTACCTAATTAGTGTTTCTTTGTTTTGAGAGTGGTTATGGAAAAAAGTATTGGTAAAAACAAACCAAGGTCATATTTGATTGCACCCCAATCATCTCCCTGAATGAATAATAGATTTAAAGAAACACCAATGCCACACAAGAATAGCAGATATGTTACTAGTAATGGTTTCCCTAGTAAAACATGAATACAAACATATTAGAGACATGTTATGGTTTTTCTCATACCAAAACTTATATTTTAAATCTTCTCTTTCAGGATGAACTGGATCTCACAGACAAGAACCGAGAGGCCATGTTTGCGCTGCCTGATGAGAAGAAATGGCAAATTTACTGCAGCAAAAAGAAGGTAAGCTTGTCTCATTATGAAGTGCCTCAGTATCACTTTCTGGTTGACCCTGTGTTGACCGCAGCAAGCTTAGTTTCCAGCAACCAATTTGTGTGTTGACAAAAACAGTTTGACTCTCATTTTGCCACTTCTTGAAAATTTCCCTTCAACCTCTTCAATTTTGGAACAAGCCGTTTCCTTTTTGCAATAATTGTACCGCGACAAGGCTCTGAAGCACTCTGGTTCACCCCAATATTGAGCCAAAACCTCTCCCGTTGCTTCACCACAATAACCTCGCATCTCGCTTTGTGGTTAGATCTTCACCAGTGTCTGACCTTGTGCACAGAGAACCAAGGTAATTCAGACCACGCTGTCATTCAAGAGCTAATTGGATAAATGGCTGTAAACTGTCCCCTGCGGTTACACATTGGAAACAGTATTTCTGATTTGGAGTTTCAAGTCAGACTCAAGTTTGCCCTGACAACCATTTTCAATAAAGAAAATACGTTGTGCTTTATAGGTCCACCTGGTTCATAAAATTTATATCAAGGCTGCAACGGACGTGAAACTACTGCAGTGGTTTACAATTTAATAAAAAAACAGTAGTATATAGTTTCCGTGAATGCATTAAGATGTGTGATTCTTGTATAACTTGCATAGCAAAAACAGACTTTTCATTTTTGAGTAGTGCATTTGTTTGCACATGGGAGCCCACATAAAAGACTTACATGGCTCCACAATCAGTTATTCAATATCTGAAATAACCACAGATGTTTTTAAGGACCCTTAGAGCGGTGCCAGTGGTGGTAATAAAAAAACTGATCACAGATTGGGCTGATTGGGGCCTAAGTGGCCTGTAGTGTGCGCTGCAGAGGGTTCAAGTGCAGGGTATATTTGGTTGGTTGTCTTCCTCCATCTCTGGCAGTCAAAAACAATTTCCCCTGTAAAGCTAAGGTGAAAATATTCAACAATGTTCATGCCAGGAAAGTGAGTGCAAGCTAAACAGGCTAACCACGCTGAACGTCGAAGGAAAAACTAAACAAAAAGACTCATTCATACATAGTAACAATGTAATGGAGGGAAAGAACGACTGTCGTGTGATGCCGTGCGCCGTGGGCAGGAAGTCCAGAGTCTGAGTCTCACACGCCTCTGTGCACTGTACAGTCTACTCCACAGACATAACACACAGAGGTGGCCTGTGTGTCTGTGACATTGATTTGAATGGAGAGCAGAGAGGAGCAGGACTGGGCTCAGCCGGTGCTGTCGACGACATACAAACGTCCCCTTGTTCGGACAAACCAAGGCTCCAGTTGTTGTGGTTAGAATCACAACAACACGGCCGCAAAAGGCCAGGCTAACTTTGTTCACCTGCAGAATGAACTGGACTGTACTTTTAATAGAGCCAGACTCTGCTGCCAATCACAAACCACTAATGTAGTCATTTGTTTTTCACAAGTTGAACTAATGCCACTTTGTGGGCACTAAAAATGCCCAATTCCTCAGCTTAATAAAACCTCCAAAACCCATAATTGTTATCTTAAAATAGAGATTAGTCACTGCTTCCCAGATGTTGTTTAAGGGCACACTTAATCTCAAAAGGATAAGTAAAAGTTTGTTTTCTCTTTTTTTTAGAGTTGCCGCCCTGTTGGAAATATTTTGGGGATATTTTTTTCTTTACACGTTTTAAATTATACTGACTAATGTAAGTCAGCAGTGTCTAGTAGTATAATAAAATCATTACCCAGAGAACAGGATGTAGAACATTACATAATGTCCCTGACCATATCACCATCTGTCCTCTCATTCAATTAGCCATGGGTCTGTAGGTCCTCTGTCTGTGTGTCAACAACTTTGTTTATTTATTAAGTAAGTGAGCAGCTATAGTGGATTTCTGTCCTGATTATGTAAGACAAGTCCTGATGTGATGCTGGATTCCTGCTGTGCGTATTTGTGCACACTAAACTGTGCTTGTTTTGTGGGCACGGTCTGTGTCCAGTGGTCCGAATGTAGAGAACATGATGTTACGGCTAATAGTCCCTGATAATGATCCCGCTCTGGGGGCAAACATGACCTCCTCCTGACTTCCATTAGGATGTGCTCCAATCGCAAAATATGACCGTGTCACCATGGTCTGTTTTCAATGTAACCTGAAGGACCCTAAAGGACCCTAAAGAAAAAAAAGAATGTTCATTAGTAAGGTTCACAGACAAAAATCACTGTTTAAGTAACAAAATGTAAAAAAAAAATGATTTAAGAAACTGCTATCCCATATTCAGATGTTTTCTTTTCAGTTGTTTCAGTTTGTTTAAACCCTGCGATCAGAACAGAAATTGAAAATGTGGTCACAATTGCAACTGGACATTTAGAGTTGGATATTTTTCTTTTGTTTTTTCTCTTTTTTATTTTTCTTTTACAAAGATGGTATTCAAGTTTTATCTTGATGTGGTTTATCCTCAACAATACTGATATGGGCCAAAATATCAGCTGAAATATGTCTAAAGATTGCTACTTGTAGTGGTCATTACATAACCTCCTAGGATTCAATATCCTGTCCATTTCCTGTCTCTTGAGGTGAGACTTTATATCGTGGTTCCATCGTTGAATATTTCCTGCAGAGATTGGCTCACTGGAATGCCAGACAGTGCTTCCAGGAACACATATTCTATTACTTGTGGAGCAGAGATTATTAAATGAAAAGTTATAAATATCAATCTGTACGTAGGCTACACCCAATCTGGAATGACTCAACTTAAAAATATTTTTAAGTTGAGTAAAAATGTTTTTATCAGATGCAATAACCTTATGAGAATTTGTCTTCTATATTCTGCCCATACGTCAGTGCCTCTTAATGTCATTTGTCTGGGGCAGTGGGTAACTCCAGTGTAAATTATTTGCCAGGATCTTGGTTATACCAGCAAAAACAATGATCTAACTGTGCAAGTTTGTGGTTGATGGAGAAGAAAGTAGGAACTATGGTTTGCAGTTAATTAAAATTTAATCAAGCCTGAGAGACATTTTGAATTGTCAATATCATTTGGATCTTTTTAATTCAAGAGAAACATAACCAATCCCCTGTGAATAAAAGCATTTGGTTTAGAGTTTGGAAGCATTTTATATTTTTTGTCTTAAATGGCAGTGATTGTAAGTCCATATTGTTTATGTTCAAGAACCTAATATTTGAAAGCCATTTAAATTTGTTTTTAAAACGTATTAATTAATATGACTTAAAACTTATTCTCTTTGAGTGTATGTTGCATGCACCCCCTTTAAAAGAAACATTTTGTTACTTTTAAAAATTCTTATCTTATCTTAAAATATGGGAGGCAGAGTCAACATTCCTTCATCATGCTTTGGCCCTCATCTGATCAGCCCTCATAAGTCTGCAGATCCAGGGTCCCCCCGGGCCTCTCTGAGCACATGGGAACAGACTGAGACAAGGCAGCGTCTCCACAGAGATCCTAGAGGAGCACGTTAGCATGTCTGCAGTGATGGCTCTGCACAGACTGTGGCCTGTTTAAGATACGCCTTGGCTACTGCAGTAAGAGACCAGGCCAAGAACGCAGAGTGAAAACATGCCGGACTCAGATCTATGTTACACTCAGCTCTGTAGAAAGTATTAATGTATACTGAGGAGATATCACCATATGTGCAGATGTTTGAACAGCTTTTCATTGTGTTTACATCATTTTTTATGTAATATCACCTACAACTAGTTTGCCAAGAATATATGCACCCTTCTGTTTTTGTATTTTCACACCGTTTATTTGGATCAAACACTTTCTGGGTTGAGTTTCACCTCCATTTCATGTTACAATAGGTTTTCTCAGTTCACTAATGCGGCCATACAACTTGTGAGCTAAGCAGAGTTGATTAGTACTTGGATGGGAGATAGAAGAGAATACCAGGTAGCACATTTGGGGAAGAGTGGCTCTGTGTCCTTAGGCAAGGCACTTGCTTACCTATTAAGAATATGGTGTGTGAGTGATTGCTGGTGGTCAGGGGGTTGATGTCACAGATTGGCAGCCTTGCTTAAATTAGTATACCCTGGGCAGATGTGGCTACAGTAACTTCAATAGCTATGATTCAAGTCCCAATGTTACTGAGTCTCTGTTACGTAAGATGGTTATTTTTGTCTAATCGAAAAGCATTGTGTTGATTTGAAACACTTAGGAGTGACAAACATTAGAGCCCAACCGATATGGATTTTGTTGTGGCCGATATGAAACAGATATAATGGGAGTTGGAGCTGCTGATAGCTGATATAATCACCGATATATTTAGTGATGTAAAAATTCACAGTAAATCTTGAATTGTTTAAAAAACTTAGGTTTGGCTCTAGTGGATTCTAAATTGGGTTTATTTACGCAACATTTATTGTTATTCTGACTCTTTACATCATATTTACATACAGTAGATTGGCCTAAGGGCATTTTTGCATCACATTCTAGCTACTAGTGATGGGTATTGAAGTTTTTTTCTTTGGAGAACTGGCTCTTTTGGCTCGGCTCACTAAAGCAGCTGGCTCTTTTGGCTCCCAAGTGACTCTTGAGATTGTTTTGTTGCAAGCAGGACTAAACCAGAACTGAACCAGGACTGAGTGTCGGGACTCGGTTTTTATCTCTCTCCTTCACTCGAGCCCAAGATTAGTCCTGGTTTATTCATTTTATGCTGAACTGCAGCCAAATATGCAAGTTTTTTAATCCTATGCACACGCAGATTTCTGAAAGTTTCGTTTTCAGCCGCTGCTGCTGTCAAACTATGGGTCTACATGCGGCATGAAGAGAAAAAGTGAGAAAAAGAGAAAACACGGCTCCCAATAAGAAGCAGGCTCCTGTTGTTCGCTTCAAAGAGCCGGCTCTAAGAGCCGCTTCGATCGCGACCGACCCATAACTCCTAGCTAGTAAATAAACTACCGCTATTAGCCTTTAGCCGTAAAAACGTGTGCACCGCGGTAATTAATTATATGCATAAATGTGGATCATTCACACGTGTATTCACAGCTCATTTACATATCAATGCAGGTCCAGTAACAAATATACAGACAATGTAGTCAATTTACAATAGATCAATAGAAAACAGCCTGTTTATGTGTGGGAGTTACAGCAGCTAATCGCTAACAAAACCTAAACTAGCTTCAAAGTCGATGTATTTCCAACACTCACCGCTCACACAGGCTCCTCCTCACATCACAAGTCTGCACTAATAAATGTCCTTTTAATCCAGACTCAAACCGATTGTCCGTAAAAAGAAAATAATCTCAGTGTTGCGCACCGCTGCGGGTGTAAACAAACACACGTGAGTGAAGTGACGTCACTCTGGTCGTGTGTTCAGGGACAGTACGGAAACACACACAGACAAATGACTCCGCAGATAAATGCTGATGCGGAGCCACATATTTGGACATTTATCTGTCTGTAAATTGGATTAAATGAACATAATGTAGAGAGTCTAAGCTTGACAACGAGGTGTAACATGCTCACGTGAAATATTGGCCCATATCAGCAAGCATATCGGCCGATAGCCGATATGTCTCCAGGTGCCCATATCGGCCGATAATATCGGCCAGCCGATATATCGGTCGGGCTCTAACGAATATGTGAGGCATTATGGAAAAATTGTAAATTATGGTCAATCATTTTGCTCTTACCACAAATTAAAGTAATTCATTGCATGTCATGAAGAAGCTAAACTATGTAAACTACCTACTAACAGGTGCAAACACAATCCGACAATCAAAGAAACATCCCAGGGTTATGGATTTCCTCTGGCATTTTGTCCTGGAAAATCAGTCTGCGATTCAGCAGGTGCATGGATGTAGCTCCTAACAGTGGTCTACCTGATCTGCTCAGAGGATTCTTGTCCCACACTGCTCTAGTTCTGATGGTAAATCTCCTGTAATGTCCCCAGACATGAGGAATGCACAATGTAGTGAGTGTGTGTAATTGGTGTAATAGAAGGACAGGCCTGACCTTAAACTGTCATACTCAAACATGCAACTGGAAACTCTGCATGGAAGTAGATCAAACTATCCAGTATCCAGTATTTTATTAAAAAAAACAAGAGACAAGATATTTCACTTTTGTACACTCAAGCCCACTGTGTTACTGTAGGATCTCAAGTACTTTGGATTTGTAATGTCCATGTTCAGGTTTTTGCTTAATTGATTATGAAGGTGCTGTTTACTTGTACTTATCTATATACAATAGTTGTTTTTTGCGAGTGATTCTGGCTTTTGAGTGGCAAGGCTTTAGTCAACAAAGTTAGTTTTGCTTTGATTTTGGTTTAAAAGGGTTGAGCGTTTGTCCTCTAATCCGAAGGTTGGTGGTTCTCAAAATAAACATTGGTAGAGCAATCAGATCCACTGACACACAGGTTGGTGGTGCACCAGCTCTCACAGATGGATATTGTCATTGCATCCATGAGCAAGACACTTAACTCACCTTGCTCCCAGTGTCTGCGTACACTGGTGTCTGAATGTGTGTGTGTGAACGGGTGACCATGTGCCCAAAGTATGAAAATCTGCTGTGTGAACCTCTTTTCACAAAGCCAATAAACAGATTGTGGTTTGTGGTTTGCCACTTTTGCTTTCATTCATTATTAAAAAGATGGTTGCATGAAATATTGATTACCATTTCAGAACAAGTTGATGAGCTCGTCATGTTTAATGAGGAATGCCCTTGTGAAAATGGGGTCGCTGTAGTATCTGTTTTGTTTGTCACCCAACTGTATCCGCATGAACCCTAGGATGCATTCATTTTCTAGACATATTTATGATCTGTTATTTTCTACCATTAAACTTACCTGGCCAGACAAAACCATATGCTCTGGCATAACGTTACAAAGACAAGTGGATCTGGAGCTGTATCATGTCTCCTTGATTTCAGAGGGATGATTGACTAGTGGATTAACCAATCAGAGAGACATCAAAAACAAACATGGCACCAAACTATTGCTTTTCTTGGGTTAAAGAAGTTATATATTTTGTTCTGAATGATACAAGAATTTTGGAGAGGAGATGTCTTCTACATTTAAGAGACACGTGCTACAAATTAGTGCCTGTGTTTGGACCGCCTCAAGTTTGGATGGAGGATTTTCATGCTCTATGGTCTGGTTCTTGTCCCTTCTGTATTCGAACAGAATATGTAGAAGAAGCTGGCCGGTCAGGCAACCATATTTGATCTCCCATACCATTTGACATTTACATTTCCAGTGAGATTCTGTGGCTTCATATTCAACATGCCTGAGGTTTATAGTCTTTATCTTAGTACACTATCCAATTGCAGTTAAATGCTGTTCACAGTGCTATGCAGCTCTCATTGACTCGCTCGCCGTAAGTAGACCAACTTTAATCTGTGCTAAAGAGAAGCAGATGTGAATGAGAAACATGTTTGCTGTATTCCCCTGTGTCGTGGTTACTTGTGGCATCAGGCTTGTTCCGATTGGCTGGGACAAATTGATCTCAGACAGGGCTATTTAAAAAGCTATTGTGAAGCGTGTGTTGTTTCCCTAGGCAGTCTCTCCTTTTTGCTTAGTTCTTCTCACAGTAAAGAGATGTGGTGACCCAATTATTATGGATTGAAGTGCCTGTTGTGTTTAGTGCTGTGAGGTAGACATGTAGGTACTGTGCCAAAGCGTTAGTGGAGTCTACAGTCTCTCATACTTATGAACATTATTACCATGTTTCCATAATTTAAAGGTGCATTGTGCAACTTTTCTGGTGGAGGGTCCGTCAAATGCTTTTCTCCCTGGAGATGCTGTTGCTTTGTCTGAAATGTTTTACAGTGAGGCTTTAAACCTTTCAAGGAGACCAAACCAGGTCAAGCAACAGGTCAGATCAGTTATAGGCAATCCAGCTCACAGTCAGAATGTCTGTTTTGCTAGGTATTTTTGAGCAATAAAGCAATTTGTAACTGAATACATGTAAAGGTGATCTGTTAAATGTCATATTGTGGAACATTTGAAGCAGAGCAATGACACATCCATAGAAACAAAAAGGTGACAGACCCAAACTGATATGGTGGTGATAATGGTAATAATACAGCTAAATGTTAAGGCATTCATTATGGGTTCTGTTATGTGTTTTGTCATTACACATTTTCAGATTATTTGCCTTATTGTTTTAAACATGCACGTCTGTTTACCTCTGCAGGAGCAAGAGGACCCTAACAAGTTGGCTACCAGCTGGCCGGACTACTACATCGACCGCATCAACTCCATGGCTGCTGTAAGTTCAAATTAAACTCTCTATGAATATGACTCAAACTGAATCGTGAGAATGATAATAGTTTGACTCATAAAACATGCAATTTGATTAGCATTGACCCACTTAACTTCATGATAGAACATGTAAAGTTAGAGAGGGGTATTGTTTTTGTTTTTGCTAATGTAATTTTTCAAATATTTTCCCCAAACCAAAAGTGACCTAGTATCACATTTGGCCTGGGCCTTATATCATGTGCTCCCTCACCTCCTGTAACAGTCGGAGAGCCTGTTGTGGTCACTGTTTATTTGAGGCTCTTGGGGTTGGCTCACTTTGTCGTGTCCCTGCTGACTGCCTGTGATATTGGCATGGGCACATTCCTCTGTGTGACCCCGGCCTCCACACACTGTGATGACAAACAGCCCATTTAGACTCTCAGTCAGTGGGAACAGTGCTCAGAGCACGGCCAGACCAGGAACGACAATATTCATTATTATTGTAAGCAGCTATAAATGCCAATGACAACAGCAGGATTGTCTTACAAAGCTGCCTTCAGTCTTAGTGTTATCAAGATGTACGGTTTGACAGCTCTAACTCTGCAGTATTTGATTGTGAAGTCATTGACCACTGTGACCTTTGACCTGGAGTCCTCATGTGCACGACAAGCTGGCTCCCAAGTGTTTGTAGATCATAAAATAGCATTTTATGAGAGCTTCCTTAAGGGTGACATGCTAGCTAGAAATTCTGAGAATGTTTTCTTATTGCTCCAAAAAATCCAAAAAGGTTTTGCTTTTAACTTGCATCAGTACCCTCCATTTAAACTCATCTGTAATCGATTCAACAGGCACAATAGAGGAACTAAAGCTAGTGTTACTCAAGATTTAAATTGAGATCTCATAAGGCACGAGAAAAACTTGAATTAAAGCAAAAGCAAGTATGACTTTAAGGGCCTATATTGTGCGATTTTCTAATTTTCTAATTTCTTTTATAAGGTTGTTTCCTCATCAAAAACATACCAGGACTTTTGTTTTGTTTCATTCACACATGTTTTACCCCGGGCTCAGACTGCACCCGGTCCAGCTGCAGAGCAGTGTCAGAGCTCTGCTGTGCACTTGTGGTCCCAGCCTTTGAAGGGCTGCGGTGGGCTCCACCGTCCAGCAAAAATGAATCCAACTGAATTGATCTGGAGTACACGGCCCTTGGTCTGAGCTCCTTTCGCTACTTTTAACTATACCAGATACTTAAGGCCACTGGACCGGAGGTGCACCGTGAGCAGTGTGAGACCGGGTAACACACAAACCTTGAGTTCTTCTTTCAAACATAAAACTCATGAAGATGGAAACCACTGCTTCATGATATCACAAGGTGGAACAGACCAGTTTGAGCTGTGAAGATGTAGACAGACTAATAATAAAGGAATACTCAAACATGTGTGAATGAAACAACACGAATCTGTGTATGTTTTTGAGGAGATAACAGTATTATAAAATGGCTTAAAGCTCACAAGAGTCAATTATATGACCATTAAAGGTGCACTATGTAATTTTTCTGGTGCGTGGGTACAGGAATAGTGGGTGTGGTTACCAGAGATGTTTTGTACTAAAAACCACAATTAAACACAATCCCCATTAGAGAGTAGATTAAGAGCAAAGAAATTACATGTGGTTGGTGGACCCTTTACCAGAAAAGTCCCATAGTTCACCTTTAAACAAGAATAACATTTGCGGTGTAATTCCCAATGAGAACCAGACTTAAATATGAACAGTATCTGGTGACTTCAACATAAACCTTTTATCTCAAGTCATTTGATTGCCCTGTGATACCTAAACCACAATTTAGAAAGTTCTGAAATCCGTTGCATTTTCTTGAACTAGATAGCATTTAGACTCAAGTTTTATTTGTACAAAATGTCTCTAGCAACCACATTCATGGCTCCATCTGTTTTTGTTTACTGGAGATGAGCTGCTTCTACCTGGACTCAGCGTTTTCTGGAGGTCTGGAGAACACATCTTCGTTACAGCCACAGAGAGTCTCGTGAATGCTCAGGGTTTAGGAGAAGTCAGGAGAAAGTGCTGATTTGTTATTTGCCAAAACTCTGAGCGCTTTAGCAGGACCTTTACAGTTAGGTGTCACCCAGTTTTATTTGAACTGCATGATACATTTTTCACCTCCTCGACTACATTTCATTCTACTGTAAAGTTAGTGGCTTAAAGTTTTGATGTTATATGGATTGATGAGAACTATATAATTCCCAGAATTGAAGAACAGCCAACAAATTCATGGAGCATGTGCCTCTTTATGGCGCATGTATAGAGCTAAAGCAGTGATCTAACTTCCTATACATTTTGTCCATTCTTAAAATTATTATGGGTGCACTGTGTAATTTTTCTCATTGTGGGTCAGCTATGTGCATTTTTCCCATGGATATAGTACTTCCACTGTATGGCATTAAATTATTTATCTTATGGATACAAGCAGTAGCCTGATTCATCAGCTGGTTTCTACGAAGTAAAACCGGCTGATGAATCAGGCTATGCAGCATTAGAATTCGTTCACTTGCGTGTACTTTTTTATTTAACCAATTGCTGCTATTTGGTCGTGACATATTTAATTCGCCACTAACGGGGCTAACTTGTATATTAAGCTTTTCCCAAATCCTGTAGGAAGAAGGGCAATAATGTCTTTCCCCTTGATAAAATTCACCAAATATTCTCTTTGTTCCAGCTTTAAATCCTCCATCTTGGGAACCTTTACCAACACAGAATATATGGCTCTTCACTGATTGGCTGGTGCTCGGTCTTGCACTTCCGGGGTTCTTGCAAACCATCTAGTGTATTCCGATTCCTGACCTAGTCGCTGCAGAGGCACTAGATGCCGCCAGCCTGGCTATATAAGCAGCTCACTGAGGACAGCTGTAATTGAATGCAAGATGGATAACTTTAATGTCATACTGTGGAACATCAAAGGAAACATTATAGCGGACTTCTCACCAGCAATGTTATATAGTGCACCTTTAAGGCGTTATTACTGTGGACTTATCACAAGTTTGTGTTACATTAATGGTCCTCTCAATGATAACACTGTATCTAGGAATAGTTTCCAAAGCCGTCCCTCCCAGTGTATCATTCCTGATAGTGTATTTTCATCACCAGTTCTTAGTATGTCTCAATTCAGTGTATGACTTCATGTCTTGGCTCCTAAGTCTTTCTACAGTAGCCACACTTATTATATGAGCTCATTGTTTGCCCCGCTGCCCATAGAGATTACTGTACTCTGCCTCTCTTTAGTTTTCATTCATGAAGCCATGTCAGCGTCTGCAGTCTGTTCAGCCAAATGATTGTGACTAAGGCTGTGCTGTCCAAACTAGTTAGAGTTTGGAATTGGTGAGTGGATAATGGTGAAAGACAATGCAGCATTTATAAGCAGGAGAGACAGAAAGCTTTACTATGAAAAAATACTATTGTAGAGCATTGTTGGTGCATTGTTAATGTATAAGGAAGACTTTATGAGCCATTACTGACCAGTTAAAAGAGAACATCACATGCTTGTTTAATAGCTTCAGGATTTATTTGACTAACCGTAAAGTTTCCTGGTGCACATTAAAAGAAGTATTCATTATTCTGTCTGGCAACAAAATGTGGCATTGACTTTCAAATCATCAATAATTAGATCTGACCACCAAGCACACAGATATATACTGGATTTATTCTTCTATTCTTGTATTATTCCACTAGAGGCAAATTAGAATTATAATTTCGTTTCAAATATGTAATTAAATGGTATAAGGAAGTTCGAGGTAACCCACGGTAACCACAGAAAATCTAAATAATAAAGCGTGCTGTTATTGTAGTAGACAAAACTAGGAATTTGATTCAGCAATGTGGTGCAACATTAAACAATAAATAATGCAAAAATGAATATTACAAATAACAGAGCAATAAATATATTTTGCCATTGTCTTTCAGAATACATTTCAGTGAAGAAGTTGATGTTTCCTATTCAAACAAACAATTTTAGCTATTTTTACAAATCATTGTTGTCGCCATGTCAACAACACTGGAAGGCTCTGTCCTGGATTCTCTGGGCACTTCCCATTAAAAGGATGTAGGGAATTACCCAGTACTTCTTTACTAACTTTTTCCCATGGCGTCCTCATATTGGCCCCAGGTTAACTTATAAATAGCAGATGTAGGAAGGAGATATTTGGCGAGACCTGATGGCATGGTGAACTGGCACACAACATGGTCAAATCATTCTCCCAACACTTGCGATGTCCAACTTCGCTCTCACTATGAATGTTTGAAGAAACGGGAGCTTTCACTTCTTGGCACGTTCACGATTGAAACATCTGGAGTTAACATGATGGATGTTTTGACTGCAGTGTTCTTAGATTAAAGAATCTCACAAATCTCACACGCCTCACAGCACAAAGGCCTTGTCAGTCAATTTTAGGTGTGATTTTACATTTAAAAACGTAAAAAATACTAATCTGAGCAGTTGCAAACAAGGTTACTGTAGCACAAGTTATTCCATTGCAGATTCTGGAAAAGAGTTTAATGACTCAAAGACCTGCTTCTGTGTTTTGATAGATTTCTACCCTCATTATGAGAGAAAATACTTAAGCAAGATTGGAGTTAATCAAAGCAAATGTGACATTCCTTATGCTTTTAAACCTGCTCTTTTCTAATGTGGATGTTAAAATGGCTGCTGGTCAATAACAGACTTTCTGATACATTTGTGCGTTTTTTGGATGTGCAGATGCAGACCCTGTTTGCATTTGACGAAGAAGAAATGGAGATGAGAAATAAAGTGGTGGAGGACTTGAAGACAGCGCTTCGAACACAGCCAATGAGGTGAGATACTCCATCAATAATTAAAGACTAGATTATTAGACCTTTTCATCACATTTTGAGACTTTGAGACACTTTGTTAAAGGTCCTAAATTATGCTACATTGACTCTTGTAAGCTGTTAACTAAGTTAAAATGTTCTTACCTTATCTAAAACATATCTGGAGTTGTGTTTTGTTTTATTCACACATATTTACGTAAAGTACATCTACATCTCTAAAGCTCAAAATGCTCTGTAGCACCTTGTGATACTGTGACAGTTTTCAAGTTAACTTTTTACCTTTAGTTCATTAGAAATAGGCAGTTCCAGGACTGAATTGTCTGAATTATCTGAATGATTGTAGTGAAAGAGTATGGACTTTGAAAACATAGTGGAGTACACAGTTTTACCACATGACATCACAAAGTGGAACAAAGTGTTTTTCATTGGAGAGAAGACCTGGGCCTAAATATGCTGTTTTTATGTGTTAAAAATGTGTGAATGAAACACAAACACACACAACTCCAGGTATGTTTGTGATAAGGAAACAACATTATAGCATAGTGTAACATGGGCCCTTTAAAACTCAAAATAACACAATATACCCTGCTCGTGTCAGTAGCTCACTTAGAGCTGCCCAGTACGTGACACAGTGGCCTCAATCAAACTCAGGCTAAATGTGCTACAGCTGAGTGGATAACACCGTCTGGGTCCTGTCTCGTGGGGAGTAATTTTAAGGAAATAGTCCCTGCCCATTGACCTTGGTGGTTTTCCAGGCTTCAATATTTGCATTATGAAAACATAGTCATTAAATTAAATTATGTGAATTGGGTTATGTCTTGATTTAATCTGGTGACACTTAAAATGACCTGGCTTTCAAGGCTGAAGTACAGATGGGTGATGGGCCAAAAAGCTCATATCACAAGTCTAGATCACACTGACAATATTCATGCATATTTTGTATCTTTATGTTTATAAATAAAAAAAAAAAAATGGCTTTACATACCACTTTAGGAGGTGGTATGTAAAGCCATCTACTGAATGGGTATCACAATTTCATGTCAAAAAAATGTCAAAAATTGTTACTTTTCTAGACTGAAGAGTTGCAGATGATTCAAAATTGACAATGTATAAAATGCTCTTTTGATTTTGGCTTTGAAGACAAATGTAAAGCGTCTTTGAGTATCTTGAAAAACGCTATACAAGTGTTAAGTGTTATTCTTATTAATATTAAATGTCACACTTTCCACTATGAAATAAATGCAGACACAACTACGTTATATTCCTGTAATCATGACACCAGTCTAAGCACGTGCTAATGACTATACTTAGAGCTTAGGCCAGATCTGACTTTACTTCAGATTGCAGCTGCAGCGCACTTTATCAGAGCTCATTCCGTCACACAAAGCTGAAATATAACTTTAACACTTTAAAAAAAACAATTTCAAACAGTTCTTAATTTAAAGGAGCATTGTCTAACTTTTTCTCCTGGAATCCATTAAGTGCTTTTCTGGAATGTTTCACAGTATGGTATTAAACCTTTCTATCTTCATGGAAAACAAACTAGATCAAGTTACAGAACAGATCTGTGGAGAGGCTACCCAACTCAGTTTTTCTACGTATTTTTGAGTTATAAAAAACTGCTGTATTTGAATAGAGTTGTTTGATTTCATACTGTGGAACATTCCAGACATAGCAGTGACATATCCAAAGAAACAAGCGGATGATGGATCCCCAATAAAAAAGTTACTTTTATTTAAAGGTACACTATGTATCTACTTTTTAATTCCTTTTTATTTTCCGTTTAATGATCAAAAATGCTGTTGATCTGACCCATGTTTTGATCTTTCTGCTGATATGATGGGAGCATTCCTGCGGCATGATGCTCTTCGTTCTCCAGTCATTTCCTCTGTCCAATAACTAAGGGATGACAGGAAATGAAGGTTTTGAAGGGTCAGGGAGGCACATACCCAGAATGCACTGCACTGATTTCCGAAACCTGATCATGTAATGCATACTGACATAAGACTGTCACTGTGTATAAGCCCTTATTAACATTTTTTCTCTAAATCTTAAGTCACAAGAGTCCCAAGCATGGTTAGCTGTGGACTGATAGAAAGAGAAGGGCAAAAGTACACAATATTATTAATTGAATGACTGAAGGTTGCACAGTAGGGCTTAAGAAATACATGGACATCTGGAGAACATTCTGAAGTGTCCAGACAAACAGATCTTAAACCTCATCTATAAAAACGTATTCTCCATGCCAATACAGACTGCACACATCACACATGTTCACCTTGGCCGAGACTTTTATCGTCCTATAATTGTATGTGGAGCCAAACTATACTTTAAAATGGAAATCTGATCATTTTTAGAGGGATACGTGTTGAAACTTCAGTCAGAATGAAGTTGAGTCCAGTTCAGCGACCAGTCAAACATAACGATCTTTAAGCAACAATAAAGACTGTTGTGTAAGTTTGAACTGAAATAACCTTGAACTGAAATACCCTGTTTTCTGAACTATGCTTTTAAATGAAATGTTTTTCTGTCCCATTGTATGTGACTGTATACAGTCCGTCTATTGGTTTTTGGCAGTGACATCATGCTGGGGTTGTTCTAAATGTATCTCTATTGGAGGAATATTCAGGAGTTACCATGGTGACACAGTGCACTCATTAGCAAAAGCAGACAAAAAGTTTTAAGATAGTCTGAAAACTCAAGGAAAAAAAATATAAAACTGTGTACAAAAATGTGTGAGAGACTTTTAAAAGTATAAATCATCTCATCTGTTGTAGTTCCAAATAAGTCTGCTCTTTCTGGTCAGATTGAGTTAAAAAAAAAGCTCATATTAAATTCTAACTTCAGTAACAGAGCTTCTGACAGAGTAGTGCTTTCAGTTCGCTTCACACCCCCAGAGAATGTTTAAGACATCAGCTGTAAAGTATCAATTGTTTGTAGCTCATATGCATCAGTTGTCTATGATTTGTCCCTGACTTTCTGATCCCAAGAGATATACTCAGGTAAGCTGTCCTTTTCTGTAAGTGTCGGATGAGTGGACAAGAGATGACAAGAGTCTCCAGTTTTGTGGTGGAGTGAAATCATAGTATAGTAGTGTAATTTTCGTAAAGCAAGAAACATAAGGAAAGTTAGATGTCATCTTACTTGAATATTTTGCGTATTCGTTTCTTCTTTTGTAAGGGCCAAGTCCTACTGTACACATTCACCGTGTGTCTGGCAGGCCATCAACAACCAGCACAGCCGAATGGAGCGGGCAACAACAAGTGAGGCTTTTTGGATCTAGTGCCCCTTTTGAACTCCAAGAACAACATCTATCACCATCTGATTTCCATGCATTAATCAGGGAATGTTCAGGCTAATTTCTCGTGCAGTATGAAAGTTCTCGCCGAGGTGGCCCTGGGATTCATAGCAGCAGCCGTCGTCCAAGGAATTCCCTCTGATATAAGATGTGTAACTTTAATACTTGGACTGGTCTAAGCTTTTCTCCACTTTCCAATGTCAGGCTTGCATCTGATTGTAGTTATGTGAAATTTATGATTTTGAATTGTCAACACCTTTTTGCTCACTGTAGATACTGACCAGATGTGAGTAGTAATTGGATAATGCTAGTATGCATTTAGTTTTTTCTGTTACAAATAGCTGTTGTTATTTTGGGCTTTACTAAAACAAATTGAATATAATAAGCAGTAGTTAAATGTGCTCCAACTAACTTGGTGGAGGGTCCACAGTGTGCCATTTTACTTGTTTCCATAGGGAGAAGCAGGTAAGTCCTTCAGGCCAGGTACGGGCCAGAGCTTTGTAGAGGTGACTCATTTCACAGTAAGAATGGATGTTTCCAAGATATGCTATATCTTGTTTTAGCTATGTAACCTCGTGAGTCCAGTATTCGAATAAATGCAACATGCAAAATAAGTTTTATACCATACTGTGGAACATTCCAGACAAAGCAATAACATGTCTGTGGAGACAAGCATAAAACAGGAGAACACATGTCTATCTCTCTTTGCTATTTTATTTTTTTATCTTTTGGCAATATTATAGAAAGATTGCACTGTGATCTGATTGTTTTTGCATTGGATCCCTTTCCTGTCACAACCAGTTATATTAAACAGAAATAGAAATGTGGATTTATTGTCTTGGCTTTCGGAGACAACAACCGTTGTGAGAAACAAACTATTGACCTTCTCCTTGATGAGTAATCCACGTAATCCACTTTTCCATCTAGCTACTGTGGTTAAATTATAAATGTACATCATATGTGCGCTTAGATAAAATATTTCTTTTGATACTGCATCTCATGGGATTGGCTCCTAAACTTCAAGCTCACTGTTTGATGCTTTATCACAAAAGCGAGACTGCATGTGTCCTTGTATCACATGTGTGTACCTTGGACTTTTGATTGTATGATGGATCTGTTCTTATTCTGTTATTTCACTGCTGTTGAAAATATTGTGTTATGAGATGATTTATTGCCAATGCCAGGTTAAATGTGACTTTATTTAACACAGTTCACATAGAGCATGAAAATCTGGCATTGATTGTGTGAAGGATCCTGGCATGAGATGTACTGTGCAGTAATGGAGGGATGATTTGGTTTTGCTGTTGTGTTGTTCCGTGAATAGTCAGCCAGGGCAGCAGTGGGAGGGGATGGAATTTGGATCCCCTCTTTCTGACACTGTCAAAACAATGAATTTGTTACTGTGAGGCAATATAAAATGTGACGTCTTTCTCTCTTTTTTTCTGGTTGTTTGTGCTTGGGCTGTCTTCTCTCCGCACTGTCTCCTCTGTCTCTCTGTGTATCTCCTATCCTCTCACAAGTGCCCTTTGTTTGTGGTAATTTATGCCATTGAGAAATCTCTAAGTGGGCAGGTCATTTACTACACAGATGTCGTGTCCCACTGTTTACTGTTTACGTGTTGTGTCACCCGGCTGCACCACTCCATCTCTCAGACTTGTTGCCTGTAATTACCACTGCTAATTGGTTCTCAATGGGGTCTTTCATTGCTTCTAATGTTGTTGATAAACTGAAAAAAATGTGATAATTAGTATTGTTTGACCTTAATCTAATTATTTGAATATGGTATTCAGTCTCACCACTTTACCTAGTAATCTCTGAGGTATATTAAAGGTGCACATTTTTTTTAATCTACCACACTTCTGTAAACTTTGACAACTTTACACCGGGTTAAATTGACTACTACGTGATGCTTTGATGTGGTTTATAACCAGTGTTGAGAGTAACGTGTTATAAAAGTAACAAATCATTTTAATGCATTGGTTTTTATTGTAACACAGTAATGTAAGGCATTATAGGCAAAAAAGTTAATATTCTACTCAGTACAAATGTCAGTGACGTGCGTTACAATGCATTTTTAATTTGAATTGAATTGGTAGGTTTTTCGTTTTCTTCATGCAAATTTGCTAAAATCACCGCAATATCAGCAGCGGTGAAACGCCATCGTTACAGTTCTGAATGTGGGGACGGGCCGGGGGTGCGCCTGTGGGCTGGGTGGGTGATTTTCTCAGGGGCGGTCCTAGTTTCCAAGTTCTAGTCCAAGATTAGTCCTGGTTTAGTCCTGGTTGAGTCCTGAGTCCTGGTTGAGTCCTGGTTGAGTCCTGGTTGAGTCCTGGTTGAGTCCTGGTTTAGTCCTGGTTTAGTCCTGGTTTAGACCTGGTTAACTCTAGGTTCAGTCCTCCTGGTTCAGTCATTAGTTCAGTGCTGCTTTAGACTTGCTTCAGTTCTGGTTCAGTTCTGGTTTAGTCCTGGTTTAGCCCTATTTTAGATCTGTTTTAGTCCTGGTTCAGTCCTCCGTTCAGTCCTGATTTAGTCCTGGTTCAGTCCATATACGGCGCAAAAGTTTGGCATCTTTGCTCACTGATTGTTATTTGACAGTGACAATTATTTTGGTGAGAGTAACTTAAAGTGCTGCAATAGCCATGTAATGTTCTACATTTTAAATGCAGTAATATTGTAATGTAACAAATTACTTTGAAATGACAATAATAAGTAATAAATAACACATTACTGTTTTGAAGTAACTTGCCCAACAGTGTTTATTACACATACACAGGTATTTCTTAAAACCAATACAGAAGCAACAATATTAATCTTTCTTTTTTCTCCCTCAGGTTTGTAACTCGCTTCATAGAGCTGGACGGCCTCACCTGTCTGCTGAATTTTCTGCGCAGTATGGATTACGAGACCTGTGAGAGTCGTGTGCACACCTCTGTCATCGGCTGCATCAAAGCCCTCATGAACAATTCTCAGGGGCGTGCTCACGTCCTGGCCCACCCCCAAAGCATCAACACAATCTCCCAGAGCCTCCGCACAGAAAACATCAAGACCAAAGTGGCAGTCCTGGAGATACTGGGGGCGGTGTGTCTGGTCCCCGGTGGACATAAGAAGGTACTGCAGGCCATGGCTCACTACCAGAAGTACGCAGCGGAGAGGACACGGTTTCAGGTAAAAAAAATAAAAAAAGTCCAACTATTTAATACTTTATAATCTTTTATACATGACTCCTATTTCACACTAGGTACTGTATAATACAATGTACTTCTGGCACAACTGGGTATAACATAACTGGTATTTGAAGTTAAGGTGTTACGGTTTGAAAATGGTGCATAACATAATATTGAATTAAGGCTACGCAGTTAATCAAATAAGTACTGTAAACAAATATTGATCCACAAAAACCACAGACATTGGGTTGTCTGAGAAAAAAAACATTTATTTATTTAAACGACTGTATTTTTTCAACACACAAACCCTGCATATTTAGGCTGTTCTTTTCTTAAATTGAAAACACTGTTCCACCTTGTGATGTCATGTGGTCAGAGATGGGGACTTGCAAGTCATGACTTGGACTCGACTCAGACTTGAGTCACTATTTTTAGGACTTGGGACTTACCTTGACAAAATGGACTAAGTCTTGGGACTCGAGTTGGTCTTGAAGGTCAATGACTTGGGACTTGACTTGGACTTGAGGCCTGTGACTTGAGACGACTTGAGAAGCAATTTTTTCTGTTCTGCATGTAATGATTCACTCTAAGATCTTGTCAAGATATTCAAAAAGGAAAAATTAACAAAATACATTTTTACAACTCTTATATACTCTATAAATACTCAAAAACAAATATTCTTAGATTTTTTTTTTTAAAGTACAGTTTACTTTAAAATTCATATACATTTTTAAAATCTAAACTATATTTGGTACTTTGGTTTAAAGACTTTAAATGACTTTAAACTCAAAGCAGAAGACTTGGACTTGACTTGGACTTATGGGCCAGTGATTCGAGACTCGACTTGGACTTGCCTGTATTTCACTTGGGACTTGACTCGGACTTGAGTTTAAAGACTTGAGACTTATTTGAGACTTGCAAAACACTGACTTGGTCCCACCTCTGCTTGCGGTAATAAAGGAAATGCTGCATTCTGTTTTTAAAATCTACACTTTCACTAAAATAATTTGGATTACTTCAGCCTTGGAAATTCCAGGTAAAAGGCTGTTATTTTGATCTTTGTAGATTGGACAAAAATGTTATGCAAACATGTGTGAATGAAACAAAACACAGCTCCAGGTATGTTTTTGAGGAGGTAACAACATTATAACATGGCTTAAAGCTAAACAGTCAATTTTGTGTGTTTAGATAGGACCTTTAAAATTTTGTTATAAATGTTCTGGATGCTCATTCTGCCCCACAAAACTTTTAAGGCTTTTAAATCCTAAATCATGACTTTTCAAATAAATGCTTATTCAGTATAATGTTTGACTGCACATTTTTTTCTAATCATGAATTCAGTTATAATTATGATTATACTTTTGTTCCTCAATCAAACAGCACTAACCAAAATTAGACTTATAATAATCATATGAAGTGGTTGTGCAGTGCAGACAGCCAACACGTGGGTCATTATTGCTTGTAAAAACACTCCGTCAGCTTTTACTGCAGACTCGGGCCAGACGAGATTATCAAAAACAGAAATATATTTGAGTAATGTGCAAATAAGACCATAGTCATTTCCATTGACTCATTCCTAAACTACTTGGACAGGATGGCTCGGGGTAAGTCAACACAGGGGCTATATTAAAGACAGGTGAGGATAGTGAATGGAGCCTGTGAGTTATGAAGGTCATTGACTGGCTGTGTGGTGATTTCGGACTGAGTCAACACTCCACTTCTCACACCTCCCCAGTGGTTTGTGGTAAATCGTGACACCTCATTTTAAGTCTATGAGAGACTTGCAAAGCCTTTAATGTTGCCTTGAGCTATGAGTGTGTTTGGGGGGTCGCTGAAACGGGTGAGAAGTGAGAACTACAGAAATGCCATCCACTGTTGAGCTTTGTTTTAAAATACATAAATCTATAATAAACCACAGTGTTCCTCTTGACTTTGACCATTATTTTCAAGTGATTTAAGCTGTCTTGCTGAGTAATTCTCCTATATTTTCCAATTGAACAGACACTACTAAATGAGCTGGACAGGAGTACAGGGCGCTACAGAGATGAGGTCAACTTGAAAACGGCCATCATGTCTTTCATCAACGCGGTGCTCAACGCTGGAGCTGGAGAGGCAAGAAATCATTACTTTTAATTGAAAATGAAAATATTGATCTGAACATCTTTTTAAAGGGACACTATGCTACTTTTCTGCTTGTCTTCATTGAGATGTTATTCCTTAACCTGATTAAAATTTCTGTCTTACATATTCAAACACAGATGTTTATTTACCGTATTTTTCCCGACTATAAGTCACACTTTTTTCATGGTTTGTGTGGTCCTGCAACATATACTCCGGTGCGACTTATATATATACTTATTTATTAAAATCTTCACACTCATGGCCTCAAGAAAGCGCTCTAGGCTTGTGTGTCAGTATCTGCTATTACTTCTGTACCACTGTCACTTGGCTCTACTGCGCATGTCTCCTGCAGAAAACGCCACTGTCCTGCTGCAAGTAGTGAAATATTCAGCTGAAAATGGTAATCGAGCAGCAGAAAGAAAGTTTGGAGTGAGGGAGAAACTTGTGAGGGACTGACAGAAAGCGGAGAACACAGCGTCATGATAACCGGGAGGGTGTGCCATACAACTTTCCTGGAAGTCATTGGATGGAGTGACAAAGCCTGGATTTCAGTGACAACTGAAACCATCCTGTTGGTATTCAGAAAGGCCAGAATAATTCTACCTGGAACTGATGCTGAGTCTGATGACAGCTACACAGAAGAGAAGGCGGTGCGCCGTTTACCTCCGGAGGTCACGGAGTTGCTCAGAAGTGACATCAAGGATGAAGAATTCAATGGATTTAGTGATTTGCAGTGAGATGGAGAGTTTGGTAAATTTGTTATGCTAGTTTTCTGAAGAACTGTTCATATGTGACGTTAAGAGCCTGTTGTTCTCTATTGTTACCTCCGCCAAGGAGGTTATGTTTTTGCCGGCGTTTGTCTGTTTGTTTGTCTTTTAGCAACATAACTCAAAAAGTTATGGACCGATTTGGATGAAATTTTCAGGATTTGTTGGAAATGTGAAAAGGAAGAACTGATTTCATTTTGGGGGTGATCCGGAAGAAATCCTGGATTCTGGATCACTTTGAAATTTTAGTTAACATTGTGGTAAATGGGGCCAAAAATTTTGTTTCTCAATATCTCGGTTAATTATTGACCAAACCCTATGAAATTTGACTCAGGGATGGACAATGGGATCCTCTTTCATATTGCAAAGGCTGATCCGGATCTAATCCAGAAGACTGATTTTATCGCAATTTATATAAAAAATGGGGGTAGTCCTTGGCGGAGGTCTGCGCTCTCTGAGTGCTTTTCTAGTTATTATTATAACTTGCCTTTCAAGATGAAAGTTCCTGGTCTCTGATTTTATAAAATAAATTTCCCCAAAAAGCGTAACTTATAGTCCATTGCGACTTATATATGTTTTTTTCTTCTTCATTACGCATTTTTTGGCTGGTGCGACTTATACTCCGGAACGACTTATAGTCCAAAAAATGGTATTACTCAAAATAACAAAAAAATCAGTTCTTTCTGCTTGTGAACTCCATTCTTCTCTGATCTGACTTGTAGTTTTCTCCATGAAGACATATCCACATACTGTGGAGCTTTTCAGGCATGCATATTTATGGTGACAAGCAGATGGCATACCCTCCAACTAGAAAAGTTACATAGTGTACCTTTTTGAAATATATTAGGAATCGTCATCCTGGTTGTTATAAATATTAATGCATTAGTTAATTACATGTGATTTTAAATTTTAGGACAACCTTGAGTTTCGTCTACACTTAAGGTACGAGTTTCTAATGTTGGGCATCCAGCCAGTCATCGACAAACTCAGAGAGCATGAAAATGCCACATTAGACAGGTAAAAAAATTAATCGTGGCCTATTGATCATGATTTAATAGAATTATTGTGTAATATTTCACAATGAATCTTCCCTTACAGGCATTTGGACTTCTTTGAGATGGTGCGAAATGAGGATGACTCTGAATTAGCCAAAAGATTTGACCTGGTAAGCTTATATTAATGAACCTGTTGTATCTACAAAGGAAAGCTCTTGTATTTACAGTAAGCTATTGTTGTTACTAGAACCATGTTGATACTAAGAGCGCTGGTGCCATGTTTGAGCTGATCAAGAAAAAGCTGAGCCATTCAGATTCGTACCCACACCTCCTGTCTATCCTCCAGCACTGCCTCCAGATGCCCTGTAAGTATTCATACCGATACTGGAGCAAAAAAATGCTCAAATAGAAGTAAAACAATCATGTGAAAAAAAATAAAAATCTTCTCAAATAAAAGTATTCAAGTACCCATTGTGGGTGTATTAGACATTTTTACTTAAATACAGTACAATTTTTACTTAAATACAGTACTCCTTACTTTTATTGTGTTACGTTCTACCACTGTTACCATAGCACTGACAATGATGTAATTTTAAGTGTAATTTCTCTTTCTTGTCCCAGATAAACGCAGTGGTCTACAGCACTGGCAGCTTTTAGACCGTATCCTGCAACAGATCGTGCTTCAAGATGACAAAGGAGAGGATCCTGATCTAGCTCCTCTCGACAACTTTAGTGTGAAAAATATCATTCGAATGTAAGTTGAGTCTTAAACATAACTTTATCATTATATTCTTAGCAGCAGCAGGGGGTTATGGGTAAAATTGACATCACTGCCTAAGCTGGTGCAATGAAACAACTTACTAACCATGAGCAAACACATACAGCTAGATGTGCACAAATAGTCTCACATCAAAATAGATAGTAGTAGCAATGAGACTACTGCTATTTATCACTAGTGTTGTCACAATTCACACAAACATTTGAAACACTATTTTGATACTAAGAAAAATTATTATTATTTTAGTATAGTTTACATCACAAAATATTTGAAGATCTTTTTTTATATTACCATATAATGATAGATGTCCAAATGGGTTTTTATGTCAATAAGTATTTGGGTATAGTTTTTTTTTTTAAATATATTTATTTTTGCCTATTCATAGCAAGATGTTATGTTAATGAGTTAGAGCTTTTCTCCACAGTTATTTCCCTTGTTACACTGTTTTCACTGTCCCACTTGTGTTAAAGCACCTTGCTGCACTATAGTTGGAACCCTGAGCTTGTCCAGACAAAATAATGGTGTGTGCTCCTCTCACATTGAGCCGTTCTATTATTTCACTGTAATGCTTTCTTTTCTCCACTTTATATGTTATTTCTAGTCTTGGTCTCAGCTCTGTAATGTATGTGTTTAGTCTATGAAGTTAAAGCACTGTATAAGATGTAGGCAGGGTAGCGTGGTTGGCATTTGCTCGCTCGTGCCCTGCTCACTAATTCAAGCACCATTGTTTGTGCAATCAGCAAGCCGGAGCGGTGTTAAATACTGTACTTGGATGCAACTTCTGAGCGAGTCTGTCCATTACTGTTGAGCACTGATCCATCACAGGGTCAAATCATATGGCTCTCTTTACACTACTGCCAGAGCCTTGTTGTCTTTCCATAAACTGAACAGGAGTAAATTATGCCTGTAGAAGTATGCACAAAGTGAGATTTTTGTGTTAGTTTGGCAGCGTGCCGCTTAATGGGTCAAAGTATGTCTCACGTCTTGGAGGGACCTTAAAACAACTGTTCAAACAGCAGGGAGACGGGGTCATTTATCATCAGAAGTTGTTTTGAAAACTGTGGTGACGACTTACACGTGCAGCAATTAACACTATGAGATGATTTTTTTTTTTTTCAATGGTGTGTGGAGGGTTTTATTTGACAGGTTCAGAGGTGTGTTAGAGTAGCCAAAAGAGCGCTGTAGTGGGGCAGTGGTAGCTTTAATGTATACTTGTTGTTGTTGTGTCCCTAGGCATGACACTTCACCCACCTTGCCTATGTTTTAATGTGGTGTCTGGGTGAGTTATTGGTGGTAGTTGATGGTGCAGACGGGTAGCCTCACCTCAGTCAGTCTGCCCAAGGACCGTATGGAGTGAATGAATGAAGCACACATTTGTAAAGTGGCTTTGAGCATTTGGAAAAGCACTATATAAGAGTAATCCATTATTATTATTATTATTATTATCAATGCACATAATTTGCACATTTCCAAAGAATATATCCAGATTCACCTTGGTCTAAAGAGATTTTGTGTTGTCAGCTGAGTGGATCGATATAATAATTACATCAGCATTGATTTTGTAAACACATTCAGACGATGGGGATTATAAACACAAGGGTTTATATAATACACCAGTCTGATTAATGGACCATTTACTTTCCCCTCGTGAAATTACTCAGTTGTCCTTGTCTTTGGAGCTCATTATTTTAGTCTACTCCATACAATAATCAGTGAAACATCTCTCTTCGACAGGCAAAGCTTTCGTGGAAATTCAAGGTTCAGTTTTATGAAGCTCTTTTCATCCAAGTCCCCAGCCTTTTTTGTTTTTTATAACCTTGTTTCTCTCTGTATTAATAATTTATCTGACATCTTCCAATGTTTCAAACTAAGTTATTAACCTTGTGTGGCCATTGTGAAGTTTAATCTTGTGTATAATTAAGTCCTGCAGCTCATTATTTTGCTTTAACATTTTACTCCCCAGCTTCAAGGATTATACTGCATCAGTTCAATCAGTGCAGAAGTTTAATTAATTTGGGCCAAACACATGTCAATATGATGCAAATTGAACTGTATTTCTATAAGTTTCCCTGATTGGACTGTTGTTGCTTTTTACCAGTAGTGTTATTGTGCAGGATAAGGCCTTTATCTGAGTCTCTGAACGAGTGTTTCTCCATTACAGGCTGGTCAATGAGAATGAGGTGAAGCAGTGGAGGGAGCAGGCAGAGAAGTTCAGGAAAGGTGCGTCACATTGCAGGTTACCATAGGAACATTTACAAATGGGCTGACAAATTACCCCTTGTTTATTTTCATACATAGACCACGCAGAACTGATGGCTAAACTAGAGAAAAAGGAACGTGAATGTGAGACAAAGACCCAAGAAAAAGATGAGATGATGAAGACCCTGAATAAGATGAAGGACAAACTGCAGCGAGAGGGCGTGGAGCTGCGTTCAGCGCGGGAACAAGTCCTGGACCTGTCGTCACGCATCAACGACATCGCAGTAAGCAGTGCTCCATCTAAACTTCATCAATCAGTAACACATTAGGAAACTAAACATGTACAGCTCACTTAGTTTGGTGGAAACAAAGATCACCTCAGATTCACAATTCAAGCTGCGTAACACATGTGACTGTTATTCCAGTACAGCCTAATGAACAATCAGCCTGCAGCTGTCCGTGAGCTCTGATTAGAATCCTGCACTCGTGGGCTAATAAACTCTAACACTCACTGTGATATCTCTGGGATGACTGTGCTTATGTGCTAAAGAGGCTAATGCACTCCAGATTTAATGGGTGCAATTAAACCAGTCAAACTGCCCAAAGTAATCATGTTACATTCCACAAATATGCCAACGGTAATAAAAGGAGAAAATAACAAAACTAACTGGATTACCGGATTAAATTTATGAAATAACAACAAAACATACCCAAAGGAAAACTAGGAAAAAACAAGTTTGTGTTCCTTCTAAACTTGATTTTATTTTTTACTTTCTTGCAGACGGGCAACATGCCATTCCCCCCTGCGCCTCCTCCCGGCGGTCCTGCTGGTCCCATGATCCCTCCCCCTCCTCCTCCCATGAACATGGGCTTCCCTCCTCCTCCCCCTCCTCCTCCCATGAGCTGTCCCCCTCCACCACCTCCTCCCCCTCCTCCTGGAGCTCCTCCACCTCCTCCAGGAGCACCACCCATGTTCGGTGCCCCTCCACCCCCTGTGCCCTCCTTCGGTTCAGCTAACACGCAGCGCTCCAAATCCATTCCTCAACCATCACATCCGCTCAAATCCTTTAACTGGGCCAAATTGGGAGAGGTGAGACCACAACCTGCAACTTATCCCACTTACTCAAAAATGTTGCACAAATATTAAAAATGTTTATTTCTCCTTCAGCATATGATCAATGGCACGATCTGGAATGAGATAGATGACCTAAGAGCGTTTGAAATCCTCGATCTAAAGGACATAGAGAAGATGTTTTCAGCCTATCAGAGGCAGCAGGTTTGCATTCATCAACTCATTTTCTTACCATTTACAATTTGATGATTTAGTGCATGCTTTAAAGATTACTAAACAGTATTGTGACGTTTGGGAACTATAAAAGTGTGAAAGTGAGTGTGGTTGAGGCTACTCCACACGAGTTTGGCTTCAGGCTAACATGAGCTCTCTACTGAATGCTCTAATGTCGAAATGACAGCTTGGCCATCGTGTCTTTATAGATTTGTGCAATGACGACATCATCACAGGCTCATGGTTTACAATCACACAGAGAAACCAGTCATTGGCACTGGTCACGAGGAGTCACAGTACATGAGGGGGTTTCCTGAGCTTTAATAAGGAACCAATTGATTCAAACATCATGAAGGAAAGACTATTTAAAGGGGTAATTGTTTCCTCTTGATATGACAACCCACAGCACATGTCTTCCCCAGTGTGCTACAAATTACTTTATAAGTACACACAGTAGCACCATTAATGCTGCTATTTATCTATGCCTCATAACCAGGCTGTATAAATCCTGATATAGATCGATCAGGATTTTCCATTCAATTTTATTTTGTGTTATCCAAACAAATAAAAATGTCTTTCAATTTAAATTTCCTGCTCATAAACTCTACATGCTTTTATTCATTGCTACTGAATGTAATAAATGGTCAAATTTGTTCTTCTGAAGTCTGAACTCTGCTCCAAACCGCATGTTTTTTATTGACAGAGGATTAGCTGTCGACTTCTTGATTAAAAAAGACACCATTTAATTACGGACTAAAAATGAAATGACTAAATCTTGATTAACTGCACAGCCCTGCTTAAAACGCAACAGAAATCCCTTTTGGAATGATCAAGTCCACAGAGTTGCCATTGAACTCCCCTCGATGTGTCTTAGTGCTTTACTTGACAATCCCCTCAAAGCACCACTGGTTTCTTCTGTGTTGTATTTAAGTGTAATGGGTCATTCCAGGTTGTTGCTGACAGTGATTTGCTGTGGGTATTTATTTATACAGTGCAGGTTTTTATTGGCTCAGCTAATGGTTAAATGGAGATCTCCAAGGATCTAGCCACATAAAATCCTGAGATCTTCCTGGCTTTGACAACACAGTTCCATTTGGCAAGTGTAGCTTTCAGTTAAACCAAACAATAAGGCAGACGATGTTTATAAACGGCATGATGGCATTTTTAACTTTGGTTTTTGCGACTGAAAAAAACTCACTGACAGACTTTTGCCCTCTGCAGGATTAGTTACCACAGTCATTTTTCATGTTCTTGTTTTCCCATGTCAAGACAGATGTAGATGCAATCAAAAAGAATATATTAAACAAACATGACCCTTACACTCAAATAAAATACAGCTTTTCCATTGCCACAGCTCAGATAAATCTTCTGTCAAGAGTCTGTGATGATTTCAGCAGTAGAAGACGGCTCTTTTTCAGCTTCAGCTTGTAGTACGCATAGTAGTAGTAGTAGTCGATCTTTCCTCCAGCCACAATGCTTATATTTCTGCCTGAAATGCTAATATCTGCATGTGTTTCTGATTTGTGTGTGTCTCTGCACTCTCCGATTGCCTGCGCAGGACCTGCTCACTAACCAATCATTCAAACAGGTGAGTTGAGGTCTCCCAGATGTGTTTTTCCACTATTCATTCAACTTTGGCTCTGCAATGACCAGCCTAAATGAAGTCTACTAATAACTTGGCAAATGCAGCAATTACAGTATGTAGGTAATATATTATGTATTGTATAAACTAAATAGCCGGTTTCTTTGGGGTCCTCGTTTGTATAAAACCTGTGTTAGTCTGCAGTTTAGACCTCTATAAACATGTTCTGTGACGCATGTTATTCTTGTATTAGTTTAGCAGTTCAAATTTCCTCCTTCTTTAAAATGCTTTTGCCTCTAGACGGTGTTAACATGCACTGTGAACTGAATTTTGATTCTAAAATATAAATCTCAAATCAAATCAGAATGGCTGTTCTTCTGAATCTTTCCAAAATTGGTTAAAGGTGCATTGTGTAACTTTTCACCTGCTTGCTTCTATGGAGAAGCCATTGCTCTGCCTGGAATGTTCCACAGTATGACATTAAACAGCTCTACCTTACATTTATTCAATGACAGTGGTTTTATTGCTCAAAAATACCTAGAAAAATATGCATTCTGTGGGGTCACCTTTCCACAGATGTGAGCTGTAGCTTGGCCTGGTTTGGTTGCCATGAAGATAGAAAGGTTTAATGCCATACTGTGAAACATTCCAGACAAAGCAATAACATCTCCATGGAGAAAAGCATTTGACGGACCCACCACAGAAAAGTTACACAATGCATTTTTTAAATGCAATAACTTATTCTGTGTAATTCCAAAATAGCAAATGATGCTTCTTTAACATTATATATTTAGAGCATAGAGTTGGTTTGCTGAAACTAGCTGGTACTTTTGGTTAGCCTAGCGTGGGCAGAGTTGACTTTGGCTATGCCCCAGTGAATGGGAGTTGCCCTCTAACCTAGCGCCAACCTTAGAGCGTTGCCAGACTATACAGGTCAGTGTGGCCATGGAAAAATGACATTTTCTTTACAAGCGGCATCTGTTTTACATACGTCATAGACAGCAGTGCCGCTCAAAGGAAACCAACTCGGATCACAAATAGAACGTGCTTAACATGCAGCCCCAATCAGCTTCTGACATTCCTCCCTTTTTGTGGATTTCTGAAACAACATTTGTGTGAAGTTTACATCAATTAAGGAAGGTTTATGAGGTTTTGCACTGTGATCATTGTCCAGAAATCTGTTCAGAATCAAGCTTTAAAGTATTGTTACAGAGAACTCAAACAAACTCGAAAATATTTGGTACTACTTTGCTGTCAAATTTGTTCTTGTGTCAATATACGCAGGCAGACAAAAGAGATGACAGCATATATTCATGATTGTCACTCCAGTGTGTGTTATTATTGCTTAAAGGTGCACTGTGTAACTTTTTGTTTTGGGTCCTGCCACCTACTTGTTTCTATGGGTATATCATTGCTCTGCCTGGATTGTTCCACAGTATGACATTAAACATTTCCACCTACTCATTACATTTATTCTATTACAGGTGGTTTTAGAGATCAAAAATAGAAAAACGGGTATTCTGACTGTGAGCAGGGTTGCCTCTCCACAGATCTGACCTGTAAGTTGGTCTGGTTTGGTCTCCATGAGGATAGAAAGGTTTATTGCCATACTGTAAAACATTCCAACCAAAGCAATAACATCTCTGTGGAGAGAAGCTTTTGACAGACCCTCCACCAGAAAAGTTAATTACTGAAGTAGTAAGAATAAAGTTCTGATGTGATAAAACTGCTCATTGAAGTACAAGTCTTTCAAGATTTATGCAGTTAAATCCTTATCCAACTCTTCTACAGTTTGGGCTTTCATCCATGCACTTACATCAATTAATTCTAGGATTTTTAACAATACTCCCATTGTGGTTTCATGGCGTGCTCATAATGCATGACACACTTTGAGTAGCTGACTTCAAAAGCTGGTCACGGAAAACTGAGCTGTTGCCAACATTAAAATTTGACTGTGAAGTGTTCCCCGGTCTTTATTGTACCCATCAGTAATTTCCCCTTCTTGTTAAAATCTGTCCAAAATGCCATCTTAATTAACGTTAAAAGTGCATCGTGTAACTTTTCTGTTGGAGGGTTCATCAATTGCTTTACTTGATGTAGATGAAATGTAGTTGCTTTGTCTGGAATGTTTCACAGTATGATATTAAACCTTTTTATGTTCATGGAGACTAAACCAGAACAAGTTACATTTCAGACCTGTGGAGAGGTGACCCTAGCCAAACTGGCACCACCTAATGCCTCCACTCAGTTTCATTTGTCTCCAGTGACTAGGTCAGGAATTAGAATACACTAGTCGGTTTGCAAGAGCCCCAGAAGTTATAGACCGCGCACCGGCCAATCAGCGAAGAGCTGTGAGGTCATGACGTCAAACTCAAGCGCCTGTCTGGGTTCCTTTTGTGGTACAGCACAACAGTAAACAAAGCGGTCGAGATGGATGTAGACGAAGCCAGACATTCTGTGTTGGCAATGATTCCCGAGATCGAGGACTTAAAGCTGGAAAGAGAATGTTTGGTGAATTTTATCAAGGGGAAAGACATTATTGCCCTTCTTCCTACGGAATTTGGAGCATTATATTACATTACATTACATTACATATGTCACGACCAAATAGCAGCGATTGGTTAAATAAAAAAAAATACCCACCTACCATCGAGTGAATGAATCCTAATGCTGCGAGGTCAGACGGTTTCCACATAGTGAAACCGGTTGATGAATCAGACTAAGGTGACCCTGCTCCCAGTTAGAATGTCAGTTTTTCTAGGTATTTTTAAGCAGCAAAACCATCTGCAATTGAATAAATGTCAGGTAGATCTGTTTAATGTTGTGGAACATTTTAAGCAAAGCAAAGACATATCCATAGAAACAAGAAGGCGATGAACCCCCAACCAAAAAGTTACACAGTGCACTTTTAAGAAGCCACATGCAGTGTTTTATGATTTCCTCTGTTCTTGTCTTGTTGCAGAAAGAAACTGGCTCAATGGACGATTTGTATGTGAGCACAAGGAAGGTCAAAGAGCTCTCGGTTATAGACGGCAGGCGCGCTCAAAACTGTGTCATCCTGCTTTCAAAGTACGTACCACTGTTTGGGCCATAACACATGTCAGTTAGAATCAACATCACCGCACATGTGTAAATGCAATCACATCTCTAAATGTAAATGCTGGGGTCACAGACATAAGTCACTCAATCTGACAGTTACTTGTTTTAGTTGAGTTTTCAATGTAGCGCTGAAGGGAGCAGCTGTCAGATGATTACTATATCAGCTTAGCGTCAGTATGTAAAAGCTGGAGCAATATTTTTGGAGACTGTATTTATTTTGTGAACATTTTCTTTGTCAAATTATGGACACATTTCCCATTATATTTTGCATTTACAACTCATTAATGTCACAAATTATTATTGGTGTTTCATTCTGGCATGTATGTACGTTTCTTGAAGGAAACCAAGAAATGTGATTTAAATTTTTTACATTTTAGTTGAGTGTATTGAGTATTATCACATCAGGTGTACATCAAATCATTTTGAACTATTTAAAATTATGAATAATTCAATTTTATCTACATTACCGTAGAGATGCCCCAATCAGTCTAGTTGCATCAAATAATCCTTGGAAGATCTTCTTGTGACCTTGAATCAATCGCCATAATTGAAAATCCACTCTGCAATATGTCCCATTTTGTTCATCTTTTAGCAGCGATTGCCCAGAGTCCTTTGAGAATAGTGAACCGTGCCTCCCTTTTCTTACAAATCAATAACTATGCTTTCTCAAACCTCCCTGTCTGAAAACAATGCTGCATAGATCACTGAACTCTGCTGTCTGTCAATAGATAAAAGACCCAGGGGCACGAGCCAAAGCCAAATGGGGCCAGGATTAGGTCAATATGTCTTTCATGTACAGACTAACAATGCCATTATTGATCCACCCCAGTACACTTAACACTGATCACGTGTGCTTGCAACAGCTGGCCAGGGTCCCAGAGTAGGACCAGTGTCACTTACAGCTCTTTAAGACACTCTGTAATCTGGATAATATAATCAATTATGCTCATTAATTGAAACTAATTACTTTATTTGCAATTGTGTATTTTTATTTGCAGGTTGAAAATGAGCAATGAAGAAATTAAGAGGGCGATTCTAGAGATGGATGAGAGAGAGGAACTTGCCAAAGACATGTTGGAGCAGGTACTCAGGAAGTAATGTGTGTCTCAAACTAAGGTGTGGGGACCTCTAGTGGTACTTTTTGGTTTGGAGACAGCTTTTTTCCTCACTAATGACTAATCACTGCCATTGATTATACAGTTAGATCATTATTGTGCCCTTTGTTTGTACCTGGTTTAGTTAAATTAGTCTTAATTTAATTGGAGTATTTGCAATTCCCATATTGTATTTTTTGTCACTACTTAAAGGTGCATGATGTAATTTTCCACTGTCTGCTTGTCTTCATGAAGATGGTAGTTTTCCACCGTATGGCATTAAACTTATGCATGTCGCATTACATTTTGTGTTGAATAATTTGAATAATGTATTCTTTCTCTGAAATCTGTAAACTGGCGTAGTGTGTGACCTGCTGTATGTTATAATGTTCTCATCAAAAACATGCCTGTAGTTATGTTTTCTTTCATTCATACTTGTTTAACACGGAGTTCTTCTTTCAAACGGAAAACTCTGTTCCACCTTGTGATGTCATGTGGTAATACATGAAGTCCTCCACTGTGTTTTTACACTCCACACACCTTCACTAGAATCATTTGAGTGGTTTTCAGGTAGCTGTTAACATGGAATCTACTGCTTCATGTCATCACAAAGTGAACACAGTATTTTGAGATTTGGAGACTAATAATAAAGGGTTACTCAAACATGTGTGAATGAAACAAAACACAACTCCAGTTATGTTTTTGAGGATGTAACTACATTATAATATGGATAAAAGCTCTTATGAGTCAGTTTTGTGTAATATGAGCCTTTTAAGATGCACACTGTAGAACATCCAGGTAAATATCCATGGAACCGAGCAAGTGGCAGACCGTCTGCTGGAAATAAATTACATAATGCACCTTTAACTTTCTGGATTAAAGTCAGATTTAGACCTCTTTTCATTCATCAAAGCTGTTTCGCTGTTTAACAAATGCCACAGTGTATGAACTCAAATGCTGTGTGTTTTTAGCTGCTAAAGTTTATCCCTGAGAAGAGTGACATCGACCTTTTGGAGGAGCACAAACATGAGCTGGAGCGCATGGCCCGGGCTGACCGCTTCCTCTTTGAGATGAGCAGGTACCCCGCATTTTCCCACCAAAGCCCACTCTGACTCTTTAATGTGCCAAGACAGGTTTTAATAAAGATATGTCCTTGTAGTCTCTTTTACCGCAAACAGACTGTTGGTTTGAGCTCAGTAGGTTTATGAACTGTTGGGGGAGGCAAAGATAAAAAGTTATAGCACAAGTTGATTCATCTTTCAAATAAAAAGGTTGTTCTGCTCTGCACTTGGAGGGCTCCATTACTCCAGAGAGCAGTGGCATTTTAAGTCTTGGATCTCATAAATCCTCATTAATTTATGTTTTGAAATTAGTTTTTCCTCCTCATAAATCAATGTACTATTCTTGCTTTTTATCCAGTACCTCCCTTCTTTGACAACACTAGTTTTGTGTTGCTTATTTGAAGAAAAGAAACTTGTTTAATATAGTTTGAGTTTTCACTGTTTTCCCCCCACAATTAATATACAATGTGTTTAATATATATGCATTATTGTTTATTATATGAAAGACACATTATGTACTGTGTGGTCCCCTGTGATTCCCCTCCCTGCAATAAAATGTAACTTCCCCTCATTTGTTTCTTTGGTTTCCAGAATCGACCACTACCAACAGCGACTTCAGGCTTTGTTCTTCAAGAAAAAGTTTGCAGAGCGACTCGCTGAAACCAAGCCCAAAGTTGAAGGTAAGGACAGATGCTTAAGGGGGCAATAAAACGCCTCAAGAACAGAGGCCACGCTTTTGTGTAATATTGAATTATTGTTCTGTTTCCAAAATTTAATTCATTCTTTTCCTCTGTGCCTTAAATCTGAGCTGATGTTGAAAACGTGCTCACACAAGCAATAAACCATCCACAGAAATCAAGTGAAAGATTATAGGGCCATGCCGCATCATGGTGTATACACTTAGACGTTTACAAGCAAAAACATGTTTCAGATACTAAACATGTCAGCAGCTCGGAGCTTTTCGACAGTATCTTGTGAAATTCATGCACAGTAAGTTGTTTGCACGCTGCAGTCCTCTCCCTGTAGTGAGCAGTCAGTTGCCAGGAGCCTGTTTTGGAAAGCTGGCTTGTGTTGAGAGGGAAGAGTCTCTCATAAACCCAACATCAGAGGCCGCGGCTGCAGTGATGGACGTGTGTGTGGGAATACGGGTGTGTCTCTTTGAGCTGTCACAAGCCTCTGCACACCAGAGCTACTACAAAGAGCTTTCATGAAAGTCTTACTCAGAAGTGGACAGTCTCACACAGCTCAAGGAAAAGGACCAATTTAAAGTAGAAGTAAAAGTAATGAAGGAATTAATGTAAGGTTAAAGTTGTGCTATCTATTTTTTATTGTAGGTGATCCTCGACTTGCTTGTCTCCATGGTGATGTTATTGCTTACAGTGAGTGGGCTTGCCTCTCCAGACATCTGACCTGTAGCTTGGCTTGGTGATGTCACTCACTTGTTTTCTTCATGGATGTGATAAGTTTAATGTCATACTGTGGAACATTCCTAGTTTGATTCATCAGCTGGTTTCACTTCGTGGAAACCGTCTGACTTCACAGCATTAGGATTCGTTTGCTCGATGGTAGGCAGGTTATTTTTTTATTTAACCAATCGCTGTTATTTGTTCGTGACGTATGTAATGCGCCGCAACAGGGCTAACTGGTATATTAAGCTTTTCCCAAATCCTGTAGGAAGAAGGGCAAGAACATCTTTCCCCTTGATAAAATTCACCTAACATTCTTTTTGTTCCGGCTTTAAATCCTCAATCTGGGGAATCACTCCCAACACAGAATGTATGGCTTCGTCTACATCGCTTTGTTTACTGTTGTGCTGTACCACATAGCTCTTTGCTGGTTGGCCGGTGCACGGTCTACAACTTTCGGGGTTCTTGCAAACTGTCTAGTGTATTACTGATTCCTGACCTAGTCATTGGAGAGAAATGAAACTGAGCAGGGCACTAAGTGGCGTCAGCTTGGCTAGAACATTCCAGGCAAAACAATAAAATCTTCATGGAGACAAGCAGATGGCAGACAGCCCACCAGAAAATTTATGAGAAGCACCTTTAACATAGATACATATTACCACATATTACCATATTATTAGTATTATTTCAAACACTTTTAATACTCGTTCTCTTGCCATTACTACAGTAAAAGGCAGTGGAGTTATTAGACTTGAATGCTTCCTGGCTGACTTATATTGTCATTGTCATATTGTAGAAATTTCAAACTAAATGTATTCATGCATTCACCTTATGTCTGCCGTACATTTCTGTAAATTAAGGACCTTTGTTTAATCTAATAGATTTGCATTTTGATTGAGTCCTTAAACCACATTATCCACTGGCACTTAAAATAAAGTATTCTGCATTTTCTTATTATTCATACCATAATGTTTTCTTAAATTCTATGGACCACCCAGCAGGTTCAACACTGACTTTTGAAAGACATCAAACACATTTAAAAGTACAATTGTGGTTCTGCTGTAGACAGGCCCCAGCAATAACAATATAACTGTAGCTGATGGTTTTCACATACTCTTTGCTGTCACGGGAAGCACCTGCAGTTTGCCAAAGTGATGGGGACTCCGGGGGGAACAAGTGAACCTGTTTCCCCTGCTGTTATAGAGATGATGCGTTTCCCTGGCGACCTGCACAAACTCTGATCAATCATTATGAGGAATGTGTGCTGTAAAAGGCAGCCTGAGAAGTTTAGAGCCATGTACAGTCACATCTGGGTCAGTGGGGAGGAAGGGGGAAAAGTTGTTAAAGCTAGTTTGTGGTGTGCAAAGAACAGATGGATACAAAAAAAACACAATTAAGTCATTGGAATCTTGAATGAGAATTGCAACTATTTCAGAAGCAAAAATAAGTAAACAACAACATTTGATTCTAAAACTAGGGTTAAAACTAGAAACTCATTTTGACATGCTGATGAAAGAAACTATTATTTTAAGTTGAAAATGTCGCTCTTTTTAAATGAGAGTAGTTTACGTTTATCAGCCATCTGAGTGTGCTTTGCATTTTTCACTTTTATTTTACTGTTCCTTGTATTTACACCTCTACACAAACCTTGGTGTGCATTTCCTGTTTCGTTTGAGTAGTTTACTTTTAAACAATAATCATAAGAAAAATAATAATAATAATCATATGTAATGGATGTAAACAAAATGTAATTGTACTAGCAAAAAAATACAACTACTTCCAGTTCTGGTTATATAGTAGGCAAGTAGGCAGTAGATGTGCAAGTCTCAAGACAATGGGGAAATACAGACAATAAATATATTCAAAACAAAACAAAGCAAACAGTGCATTGTAGTGAGGGCCCCAAACTGAAGTTGGCCTAGGGCCCCCAAATTGCTAACTCTGCCACTGCTGTGACAACACCACTCCCAAATAGTCAGCCTAAATATAAAGTTCCTTTCATCTGGATCTGGATTTCATGCTGGTGGTGTTCTACATGTATCTGTATGGTGGAATGTTCAACATGTTGACTAATACTAACTAGTTTGTGACTTGTAATTTTATGTGAGACCTGTTTATCAGTACAAATCAGCTGACCTGTTGTAGTTTTGGCTAAGATAACTTTTAATGGTCTGATTGTGTTGAAATAAAGCTCACATCAAAGTCTAACTTGAGGACCAGAGCTTTAGACAGAGCAGAGCCTACAGTTAGCTTCACACCCCCAGGAAATGTTGGTGACACCAGCTGCAAAATGTCACTTCAAAATGTTAGATTTCATAACATGAGAAGAATGGCTATCTACTCATGTTTTTACTCTATAATAGTACAACAATCGTAACAATGAAACTTGACATTATGGTTTTCCTATGTGCATTATAAAATTTCCCTCGGTCAGTATGAATCATGTGATGCCTACAACTGCACCTTTTTCTCTCATCTCGCAGCTCTCCTCAATGCGTCCAAGGAGGTGGTCCGGAGCAAGCGGCTGACTCAGATCCTGGAGGTGGTTTTAGCCTTTGGGAACTTCATGAACAAAGGCCAAAGAGGAAACGCCTTCGGTTTCAAGGTTTCCAGCCTCAACAAAATCGCTGACACCAAGTCCAGCATAGACAGGTGAGAGTCTGCTGTCAAGACATAATATGGCAAGTTTATGCACTTAGCAGGACCCCGCATGGCTCCAGGATGTGTTGTCAAGTTTCTGAAATGGGAACTGAAAATGTACATTGAAGCATTTGTTGAGAAATGACCCCACAAACCATGACTATAAATGTATAACAGTTATATTTAGTCACACATTTGGAACTTTTTTCATAAAACCATGGTGACAGAGCAAATAAAGACCACACCAAAAGTACAGCACTATTTTCCACTGCTCAAGAGTAAACTCAAAGGACCTCTAACTTCACGCCAGCACTTCACTTCCTGTCGGCCTGTTCCAATGCATGATGGGAACTGCAGTCCAGATTCCAAGATGTTTGACCCTGATTGGCCCGTGTAATGTTTCCCCTGACACTCCAACCAAAAATGCTCTCCTCCGTAGCCATGGACTGTAAATCACCTTTTAAAATAATCCCATTTTAAATAGACCATATAAATGAGGTTGTAAAAATATTTTCCTTAGAGATACAAATCATTTAATTTATTTTTCATGTTTGATTTGTCGTTGATAACAGGAATATTACAATGTTGCACTACCTGATTATGATTTTTGAGAAGAACTATCCAGACACACTCCACATCCAGAATGACCTCAACAATGTGCCAGAGGCTGCAAAAGTCAAGTAAGTTTGTTTAAACACTAAACTATTATGTGTGATAATAAAAAAGACATTTGAAATTTATTTAGCTCCTTTTTGTTTCTTGTTAGCTTGGCAGAGTTGGAAAAAGAAGTGCACCATATCAAAAGTGGGCTGAAAGCTCTTGAGGCGGTGAGTTTGGTCTGCGTTTTGTCGCGATCCTTCACCATGGTTTTCCAAGTGTCTGTAATTATGTTTTCAAGTCTGGCAGAGATGGACACCAGGGTGAGACGTTCAAGTGCCACTAATGTTCTGCGGAAAAGTGACACACCACATGATACAGTGGCACCCAGGCTAACACACGAGGCAATTAGGAGAACTGAGTTTGTGTCAAATGTAGATTTATTATTTTTGTTCTGGTGTGGTTTTATTGGCATAGAAAAGAGCAAATAATTTAATACATAAATTCACCAAACTATGCATCTAAATTGACTAATGATCCACAATATGGCAATGAACTGAATCAGTTATAGGCGTTTTGTTGCAAAGAAGGAAAAAAACATGCCATACTGTGGAACATTTCAATCAATGAAATTGCATCTCCTTGGAAATGAGCAGGTGGCAGAACCTCCACCAGAAAAGTAACAATAATTTTAATTGTTATTGTTTATTTTTTTTAACTTGCATACAAATAAAGTTTTTATCCCTGACCCACTCTTGAAATTATTAAAGAAAACTGACTGAAGTAGTTGTAGTAGTGGTGGTAGATCTATACAAACATTTTGGATAAAACTTTGACCGAAGAGGTTTAGGCTTAAGTGAGATCGATTATGAGAGCCTAATGCTTTATACAAATTATCATGCCAAGAATACGGCTGTCAGCAAACAACAAATAACAACTTGATATACAGAACGGACAGAAAATTAATAATAATAATAAATTGTACTTGTCAGGGGCTATTCTATTAACAAACTGAAATGCATCTGTGTATTGTGTCCTTAGGAGCTTCAGTACCAACAGAGCAGGACGAGGGAACGCGGGGACAAGTTTGTGGCCGTAATCGGAGACTTCATCACCGTGGCCGGCTTTAGCTTCTCTGAACTGGAGGACCAGCTGAGCGAGGCAAAGGACAAGGTAGTTAAATACTTCTACATCCACTTGTAAAGCATGCGTGTGAGGCTAGATTAGCACATGTGGGTGGCTTCATTGCTCGCTAGCTTTGCCAAGTCTTCAAGACCGACTGGAGAAGTGTTGAAGAAAGACAAAACTCTAAAGGGAGAGAAGTTCACAACAGGAAGAAAATGTATAGTTTGTCTCTTACTATTGTGCATTGACATAACCTCCTTTCTTTACAAGTGGGAGAACCGGCCTTCTGAACTCTGCAGGCTCGCAAAGTGATGGATTGTAGGAAATATGTAAAGTGAAAGTATCTCTGGGACTTGGAGAGGAACTTGGAGAAGACAGGATTGAAAAGATTTATTCAAGCTTTGAGTTTGCTGGTCTTTGGTGCTCCGCTGAACATTTAGCATTTTGATGATGACATGTTGGCTACAAGATACACAGGAGCATCCAAAAGTGACATTACATATAACATTTTGAACAGGGATTTCTTAAAGGTTGTTAGAAGTATAAATAGGTCAATGTTGATGTCAAAGGAAATAGGGGAGGAGGAGCTGGGCTTTGGTTGCTTCTGTAAAACAAAAGAGGCTGTGTTTGCCTATTCTCCTCACACTCCGACTGTCTGCATCAGGGAGTTAGTGCTGTCGAGTGGGGAATCTGACGTATTAACTCAGCATGTCAAGGCTCTTTGACAAGTATCCAGCGGACTGCAAATGTGTGGGTGTATCTGTGCTAGTCTCTCAGAATGATAAAAAAGCGAAGGTAGTATGGATTATAGCAACAGTATCATATTTTAAAGATATTTTTAGCTAATGGGCTTTATTGAAATGGGGGGTGGAGAGTGGGAAAGACATTCAGCAAATTACCAAAGCAGCCACAGAGTAATTGTCATAAAATCTTTTAGTAGTTAGAAATCAAAGTAGCAGAAATAAGTAAGTTGGTCTTTAAAGGTGCATTGTGTAACTTTCACTGTTGGGGAAGTTACTTCAAAACTGTAATGAATTATTACTTGTACTCTCATTTCAAAGTAATTTGTTACATTACAATATTACAGTATTTAAAATGTAAAACGTTACACGACTATTGCAGCACTTTAAGTTACTCTCAACAAAATAACTCTCGTTGAGTGTTAGCAAAGATGCTCAACTTTTGCACTGTATATGGACTGAACCGGGACTGAACCGGGACTGAACCGGGACTGAACCGGGACTGAACCGGGACTGAACCGGGACTGAACCGGGACTAATCTTGGACTAGGACCTGGAATCTAGGACCGGCCCTGAGAGAACCCCAAGCCTGTGGAGCAGGTGTCCGCAAAGTGCAATTAACCTTGTGGAGCGTGGAGCTCTGTGCGGTTACCCGATGGTCTATGCAGGCGCACCTCCAGGCCCATCCTGACACTCGGAACCATTTCGATGGCGTTTCACCGCTGCTGATATCGCGGTGATTATAATGAATTTGTATTAAGAAAATTGGAAAAACCCACGACTTCAGTCCAGGTTAAAAATGCATTGGAACGCGCGTTACTCACATTTGTACTGAGTAAAATATTTTATTTTTTTCCCTATAATGCCTACATTACTGTGTTACAGTAAAAAGCAATGTATTACAGTAATTTGTTACTTTTATAACTCATTAATCCCAACACTGGTAACTTTATTGTTGGATTGTCACCTGCTTTTGTCTATGGAGATGTTAATGCTTTGTCTGAAATATTTCACCGTATGTAGTTGTGGAGACTAAACCAGGCCAAGTTACTGGTCAGATCTGTGCAGAGGTAACTCCGCTCAGTCAGAATGCCTGTTTTTCCAGCTATTTTTGAGCAATAAAACCACCTATAGCTGAATAAATGTAAGGTAGATAAGTTTAACCTCATACTGTGGAACATTCGAAGCAGAGCAATGACATATTCATAGAAACAAAAAGATAATGGACTTCCAACTGAAAAGTTACATAGTGCACCTTTAAGTGAGCAATGATAGGCTATTGGGATGTAGTTATTAATAGAAATGATTACACCATCCCGGCATCCACAGATTGGAGACCATTTTAAGCAACAAGTGACTTTTCTCCTTAAGAATGTTTGAAAGAATTTGAGACAATTTCACACAAACAATAGAGCAGTCAATCAGAAGAACATCTCTGCACATTTCTTAGGGTGTTTCCACTTTGCAGTGGTCAGTGTCTGTCCAAGTAAGTCCACTCCAAATAGCTTCTGTTGCTCAGTGAAGATGTAGTCAGATAAGTGTCCAAATATACTACACAAGTTACTTGTGTGTGGAGTCAAAAAGGTAGAAAACAGTTCAACCATGCTCAGTTTTGGGTGTCCCGTTCACCACTAGTAACATTGTATTGTGAAGGAGTTATATAAGGAAGAAAAAAGACATTAATCCTCTTGGAAATTTGTTTATGATTTGTTGAGATTTGAACTTTACTTCCTTTATTTTTCAATGTGTGTGTTTACTCATTTAGCACAAACCCAGGGGGACGACAGGAAACAGATCTGACCAGACACATAATTACAGGAACGAGAAAGATGGTGGCGGTGGTTGCCATGGCTGCCAGCCCATAATAACAGGATGGTTTTGCATCCTCAGAAAAGAATGAGTTCTTCATATCCTCACACTTGGGGCCATATGGAGTGTTTAAACCACTCACAAACTCCAGTCACGTGATACTATGGAATCCAAGTGTAAAATGAATGGAGAGCATGTACGTTTATACTAGGTCAAGGGTTATATGAAATAGATTAAGTATTTAATTCTGTTTATTTTGTATAGCCCAAAATTACAACTGTAGTTGCAGCACTAGGCTTCACAAAATTGTTGATACCAAACAACAGAAAGTTAGAAAATCATTGGTCAATAAGGGACAAGAAGAGTAACCAAACTTTACAGTAAATGAGGAACTGAATAAATGTCCCAGAGCATCCACTGTCCTTAGACTTGACTTCTTGGCAAGGTCAAAAATCCACATATACTTTTATTTATTTGAAATGGAAAATCTATTAAATTGAATTAAAACTTGCAAGTCTCTTCTTGGACATCTTGTTTTGAGCTGGGGAATTGTGACAGTGTGTTGGCTTTAGGCATCATCTTGGCATCGTCATGAGACAGATGGCACAGCAGAGTGGACATACGGTGGTCAAATGTAGTCAAGCTTCTTGGGTTGCTTTGGTGTTAACATTTTTAGAGTGTAGTTTCAAGACCTCCTGTGTTCAATTATGAACAACATGGATTTTAAAGGGCCCATGTTACGTTATTTTCTGATCTATGTTATAATGTGTTTCCTCAGCACAAACAAACCTGAAGTTGTTCTTTGTTTCATTCACACAAACCTACATATTTAGGATGAGTTCTTCTCGCAAATAGAAAACACTCTGTTCCACATTGTGATGCGATGTGGTAATACAGGATGCTCTCCACTGTGTTTTTAAATTCTATATGCTTTCACTAGAATTATTTGGATAATTTCAGCCTAGGAATTGCCAATCTCTACTGAACTAAAGGTAAAGGAGCTGTTAACTTGAAAATTACCACTACATTCCACACTCTTGTTTTCATTCCGCACTCTTCTCTCTAATTTATGTAATTAATGTGTCTCTCTTTTTCATTTCATCATGATTTATTTATGTTTTGTTTTATTGTGATTTTAATGTATTTCTTTTTCTGTAAAGCACCTTGAATTAGTTTGTGTACGAATTGTGCTATACAAATAAATTTGCCTTTCCTGCATGACAACACAAGGTAGAACAGAGCATTTCGAGACTAATAAAAAAATATTTGTCAAACTTGTGTGAATGAAACAAAACTCAACTCCAGGTATGTTTTTGAGGAGATAACAGTATCCTAACATGGCTTAAAGCTTACTGGAGTCACTTTTGTGTGATGCAGGACCTTTAGACTAACCATGCAAGCAAGTTTAAATTTTTAATATGTTTCGATGTTTTTGCAGTTTGCCAAAGCTTTGAAGCACTTTGGGGAGGATGAATGTAGGATGCAGCCAGACGAGTTCTTTGGGATCTTTGACACGTTCCTTCAGTCTTTTGGTGAAGCAAGACAAGACCTGGAGAACATGCAGCGACGCAAAGAAGAAGAGGAGAGAAGGGCTCGAATGGAGGCCATGGTAATGCACAATACACCACTGTGGTAGATACATGGTGAAAATGTGATCTGAAAAGGGGGCACAAATCCTAAAAGACAAAATAAGTCTCAGATGAAGATTTGGTGAGATGTTGATATATAGTTCATAATAAATAAATCAGTACATAATTTGTTCATAAATTTCTTTAATCAAACATTTTAGTGTACATTTCGATATCATATTTTTTGCAATTTTTACTGATTATTGGTTGCTGATTGGTAGCAAATTAAAGCAATTATGAGGTTGGTCTTCAGAAGAGAAATGTTGTGAGATTTTCATTTTGCAAGATCCTGTGGCCTAACGGCTAATTGTAAATGTTAACCCTATATTTCATACATGATTGACATATTTGTAGATAAATGTCTGATAATAAATTGCTTTTGTGTGTAGCTGAAGGAGCAGAGAGAGCGGGAGCGTCGGACCAAGAAACCTGGTACGACAGAGGAAGTGGGCGGAGAGTTTGACGACCTGGTATCTGCTTTACGCTCGGGCGAAGTCTTTGACAAGGACCTGAACAAGTTTAAGCGAAACCGTAAGCGCTCCGTCAATCAGCTAGTGGAGGGAAGTGGTGGTCGTGAACGCGCTGTCACTAAGGTCAACTACTAAAGATAACGAAGGAGGAAATCGTAATGTACAAATCCAAAAACACCTCCTTCACTTCTGTCTGTTACTGACTGGTTACCAAGAGCCGCGAGAAGGATGCAGACTTCGTTCTGTCTCGCTTTCACCTGTTGAAGTTGAAGATGCTTTGGAGCTAAGCCTGACAACGAGCAGACTAACTGACAGACCACTGTGACACTATTAACTGTTAGCACTGTGCTAAAGTGTTGTTTTCACTTCCTGTTTGGACACTCCCTTTTCCCATAACCCCAGGAGCTAATCATAAACATTGGGATTAACCAGTCACACTGTACATAGTGGAAGGTCAAGTGACTGAGCGGAAGACATGTATGCATAAAGTTACTTCACAAATGGTCATAAGGAGCTATAGGCAACTACTCATCCCCTCAACAAAGCAGCAGCATCTCCACGCTTCTCCAAATCACGCCAATGTTTTCACAGCCCACGCATACGAAATGTGCCATAAAAGCATTACCTATCCTGTTTAATGTTTTGTACAGTGCTCTGGAGGTGTACAGGAGAAGTGTGAACCTGTATTACTGCAATTAGGTGTGTATCAGTACATATATATTTATATCTAGATGCAGACAAGCTAATTGCCAAGAGGTTTTTCTATGTTTCCATGGCATTTTGCTTTATTGTACGCTGGTGTTGCAAGTTCACAATATTATGAGCTTTGTGTGTATAAGGAATTTGTGGAAGCCCTATGTACACCTCAGCACCTCGTAGCTTTTACCCAAACCAGGAAGTATCCTCTGCTCAGTAATTAGCTCTACTTAAGGTCATGAAGGAATACCATGTATGAATTTATATATTTTGTAGCGCAAAAGATTTTTTTTTTTTTTATTGGGGTTCTTACTTGTTATGGATCTGACCTATTGGTGCTAAAACAGTTTTGTTACACACAGCAGGAATACATTACTCATTTAGTGCTTTCAATATTTCAATTCATATTTATTTACGACAGCATTGTCATAGCAACATAGCACTTAAGAATAGATGCAAAGTTGTGTCAGTGTGCAAGACACTGACCGGCAACAATTCAAATGTAGTGACGCAATCTCAGACGTTTTCTCACATAGAAATATAATTTAAAATCATTATAAAAACAAAAACATGAATGGCTGTTTATCGAGGATTCAATTTTGCAGAATTACAGAGGGTTTAGAACAAGAATTACCCAATTTTACTGCCACTCATTCCATTTTGATAAGTCATGACAAAATATATAAATACAATTATTGTTTATCATGTCAAATTTCACAACTTCATCAAATATTGTCACTGCACTTAACTTTACAAGCAATCATACAGATGTCCCATATCACTCGCAGGCATTCTTTCATTTTTTTCAAGTTCAAGTGCCTCTGCTCCTGCCCCACAGCTGAAAAATCCAACAATTGGTTGTAACGACTTGGGCGCCATCTTGTGGTGAAACGTGCCACTTGCATCAGTTGTCTTGTGTTATTTAATAGCGTCTCAATAGCTATAAGTAGTTCATTTATTTTTTATTTTGTAGGCACAACATAAATGAATCCCTCGAGTTTCTGTTACCATAAGAAAAAAATAATCATTGGATTTTTCTAAGAGATATTTTCTGTTGAACCAAAAGCATTTAAAGTTAAAACAATATGAAAATAAGTCTCACAGATGAATTTCAGACTGACCTGGTTTTCATGTCCTTAAGGCTGTTTTGTTTCTTATCCTCTGCAACTTTCCACCACTTTCTGCAAACCAGATTTTGACAGACTCTAAACTCCTAACCCATTTGAATTGTAATATGTTTTATTTTATTATAGCTGGCTCTATTTCCTAAAGAGTTATGCGTTGTCAGTATTATTTCACATTTGTGTTTGTTACGGCCATTGACTGGCATATTGTGGAGTGTCCAATGATGGAAAAAACACAGAGGAATGAAATTAGTAGCTGTTTAATGCACTTTTTGTACTATGGGACATTTCCGATTTTGCAGCGAGTTTGCTCTTAGTATTGAAGATTACGAGGGGGGGTAAGGGGGCAAGTGCTGATGGGATAAAAGTGGGCTGTTAAATAAAGGGAGGGAGATGTTTCTATCACTTGGCATCGACTTGCATGTGCGAACCAGGTGCACACCTTTTTATAAGAAGTAATGCTTGCAACACGGCCAACCTGTGATGTGAGAAAAAATTTAAAAGTTGCACCTAATTTTTGAGGTTGTAAAATTGTAAGGAGTCAGTATTTTTACGGTTGGATTAAATATCCTCCACCGAAAGATGTACAGTTGGAAAAAAAATCATTTTGTACACCATTCGTGATGTTTGACAAAAGATTAAAAAACACATCTGAGGAATGTTCCATTTACCTGTAAATTATACCTCTATTTATTTGCCTTATTTAGTTTGCTATATTTTGTATGTACACACATCATTACAATAAAATGTTATATTAAAGGAATATGAATAATAAAACTGTGGTCCTTGTATCATGTATGATAAACTTGTATGAGAAGAGAACCTTTTTGCATTATATTTGATTTGTATTTTTCTCACCTTGTGTTTTTTGTAGGGTTACAATAAAACTTGTCCCTGGAACCTGTCAACAAAGGCTCTTTTTAATAAATGGGCAATTAGGTGTGTGGATTTCCAGCACGTTCAATAGAAAAGCTATGGTAATTCACAACTAAATTAAAATTTGAGATAATCTTTTGCTGCCTTTTAGTTTTATTAATTACATAATTTATCCATACAGTTATTATAATTATTACGTTTTTATGCAAAGGACCAAGCTAGAGTGTCTCCACTCTGTCCCCAAATAGGTGTTGTTTCCCAATACATGAGTATTTGAAGACGTGTTCAGTCATTTAAGCTTCTTCATAAATCAATTTGATGAAAATATTTTAAAAGTAAACTGTACACGATGGATGAATTAGTCTCATTAAACTGACTTTATTCAGTGTTCTTGGGTCCAAACAGAAAGACCTCTTGCTCATCCTCCTCAGACTCTACATGTACTTCTTCTATGGCATGACTATCAACAGGAATACAGCGAGGCATAAGCTTCCTTCCCAGCTACAGAAAACAGAAATTATCTTTAAACAAAAGTCTACATAAATATGATGTGAGCCTGTGAGAGAAGTGCCTACAGAAACAAAAACAACTTTACTTTTTTGGGAGGATCCTTGAAAGTTCTGTCCATGCACTTCTTGACTCTTTCCTCTTGTTTTTGTCTTTCTAGTCGAAGCTGCTCTTCTTGTTGTCTGTGAAACATTTATATTGGCTAAGTTGCAAAAGAAAGATTGCATCACAAAATCATCCAAGAATGTCTATGTTGTAATTGGAAAAGGCATTTTGTGCACATGCATTGCATAATGTTTTAAAATGTATCTTGGGATGCATTCACATTTGTCCAGGTTTGGTCCTGGTCTAGTTTAAGTTCAGTCCCAGGTTTAGTCCAAGCTAAGACCCATTGTTTGAGTTTTGTGTGTGGTAATAATGGCTATAACATTTCCTTTAGGGGTCAGTTAAGTTAATATATCTTCAGTTGCCATCTTCTAAATCTCAGGTATGTATGTATTGAACTCACCTGATTCTCTTCTCACTTTCCTTAATTTTCAACATTGTTTCCACAAAATCATCAGGGATGCTCTCCAGCTGATCCAAGAGGGTGACCACTCGCCTCTCGATGTTGGCTACCTTCTCCAGGGTGGTCAAAAGGCACTGTGCCCACTTGTCCATGCACTGAGTGTACTTCTTAGACACCTGGTCTGCCAAAGCATCCAACATTATGTCCTGTACAAATGATAAGATAATATTCATAAATAGTAATGTATACGTAGTAATCTACAATGTTATCTTATAGTATTTTTTTTTACCTCATTGGCTGTTTTAATTGAGTCATACAAAATTACTCTCTGTTTTAGCTTTGCTGTACTTGACTTTATTGCATCAACTCTCTTTGTCAAGTCAAGAATCTGCACTTTTTGTTTTTCATCAGCCTCCTTCCTTCATTTAAACAGAAAAATATTCACTAATTCAGCTTTGAAGAACTTGTTTACTTCTGGCTATCACTGCAACTAACCCACTATAGTTAATGAAGAGGTGTTCCACTTATATAAAATAATGGTATATAAAATAAGTTTAACATCTTTGTTTTGTTTTGAGTTAAAAAGTGCTTTCACACTTGCACAACAATCACCACATCAAAATTGGGACTAGACCAGGACCAAAGCAGGACCAAACCAAAACAAGTGTGAACTTTACAAAATGCACCTCAATTAAAAGATGGATGAAACTGAACCGACTGATAAAGTGAAATTGTTACAAGACAATTATCAAATGCTGGTTAGAAACATGATTCTAAGTAAATATATACGTACGTCTTGGCTAAAATGTTTACAATGGCCTGGTTGAGCTCCGCCAGTGTCTCGTCCACTTTGTGAGCGTTTCGAATCAGAGAGAGATTCTGCTCTGTCATCACTGTTTTTATGTCCAATAGGTACTCTGGTGCGGACATGAAAAGTGCAAGGGAATTCTGGGATAAAAAAACAGATTATGAATAAAAACAAAAGGCTTTAGTAGTGATGTTTGATAAACTGAACGCACATCATCTTTGACTCCACTTGTCTGTCTGTAAAAACAAGATCACGCACAAAAGGCTGTATTAAGACCGGTACTTACAAGATAAATTACTTGCAATACTTTTGGAATATTTAAATGTTACAAAGAAAAATGTATATATTAGTAATAGGGCTGGGTGCCAATACAGTAGCAGGGAAAGCATAGAGTACTACTGATAACAAACGAGATGTTGGTATCAAAAGTACTGAAAGACTTTTTTTTTTTTTCCAAGATTCTTCAGACAAATCATATTTTTTGGAATGAATGACCATTGTTATTCTGTTTTATCATTCTCAATAATGATCAATTAAGGAATAGGTAACATGGTAACATGATGTACATACTTTGTTGTCTGCGTCTCCTGCCATTTGACTACAGACACTTTATATAGAACCTCTTTGCAGTGAGTATACAGACTCAGAACACCATCAATGCGCTCAATATCTCTGTAAAAAATAGATAGAAGGAAACGAATTTACAAAAGACTTAAGATGAATGAGTGTAGAATATAATGTTCAGTTCACAAAATGCACATGTTTTGATCTTATTTACAGAATATTTAATTACTGGGCAGTGATAGAAAGAGTGCTGAAAATGTGTACACAATTATTAGTAGTAGTACAAATAACAGAAATGGTTATTAAGTTTTTTTCAGTTAGTCACATCACGTTCACCCTTTTAGTTAAAATCATTTGATTCTTTCATTTCTTTTCATAGCATTTAATCTAAAACTTGGTTGTTTTCTATTGTGTGCTTTGTGTCACCATGGTAACTGTGTAACTGCCCCTCCACACCTCTCAATGCTCTTTCTTTCTTCAATCAAAGCCTCACTCAGCTCATCCAACGCTAGCTCTGTATCCCTTGCCTTTTGAATCCTGCCAACAAAATACAATATATATTAAGGAGGAATGATGTTATATTTTATTTTTGTCTGTTAAAAACTATTATGTCTACCCAAATAAAGCATTTTCAGCCCTTTTCTTGTTTTCATTGAGGTAACTCTCATGGCATCTCTGGCTGACTTCAAGTTGTTTGTGAAGCAAAAATAGTTGACACTCTTCTGCATCAGTTACTCTTTTTATTGCTTTAATCTGTGCTTTGTATGCCTCTTTGGTCATCTATAAGACAACAACTGTGCCATTAATATGTCTAATGTGTCTAAAATAGTTACTCACCTCAAGCTTAGCCTTCTCTGTTTGAAAAGCAACATCATGCCTCTTTTTTTCTTTCATTAATGTTTCTGAAAAGCAGAAAACAAATTTAACAAATAAAGTATTATGATACATTAGTTTAGGTGCTGCATACCCTTTTTCAAAGTCAACCATTGTTCTTTCAATGCCCTTTGTTTAACGTCTTGTGGGCCCTCTTCCTTTTTAAGTTCAACAGGGTCAACACTGAAAATATCTTGCAATTCCTAAAAGGAAAAAAAAATAAAAAATTGTGAAATGTGTGTGTGTGTTACTAGTAAGTACTAGCAAGTAGCAGTACTTAATACTACTAAGTGTGTTACACTTACATTAGTGAGCTGAGCCACAGGTTCAAAGGCCAGCTCCTCCAGTTGGTCTTTTATGTCCATGTCCTCCTCCGGGTTCATGTCCACATCTATATGTTAATTATGAAGTACAAGGAGCTTAATTAATTAATGTGTTATTCGGCTGCACACAGGCAGAACACATTGTCCTGATTGCACTACAGCTTCACTCAATCATGGGTCACAAGATTTCAGTGTTAAATGCCCTCATTTCTACAAGCACACCAGTCACGCTCAGATTATTAACGTTCATGTAAACTAGCATTTACATTACATTTAGCAACTCTTCTCATTCTTCATAGCTTTTGTTCACTTTAATTAACTCACCTGAGTCTATTCGCGCCGTTGAGTGATGCATGCACGTGGCAGTAGGCACGTGTGATCCACTTTGGTACGTAAACAGACCCGTACGTTCAGAGGATTTTATATATTCTTCACACAGCCTAGTTTCAAGCTTAGTAACCATAGTAACCATAGTAACCGTCACTGCATTTATACTTCCAAACGTCTCTAATGTCAATGCTGCATTCTCTTAAAGAAGCACCAGAAGGCGCTGAAAGTCAGTTTGAAAATTGACCAAAACCCACGAAACACAGCAACAAATAAACAAATGGAGGCGCCCGCAGCAGTTAAGAACGCGTCTGTTGTAAAAGAGTCAAGACAATTAGGGAAGGGATGTATTTAATTTTTGTATCTGATTCTAGTCACTTTTTTTAAAAGTTCACTATCGAGCCGTGTTCACTACTGACCCCAGCGGTTAGGTCACGTAGAGCTGCCTTGCAAAGATTGCACATATATGTTGCATGGATTTATAAGAATATTTTATTAAATTTAAATCTTACATGGTTCTGAGGAGACGGACCAGATCAGGGACAGTATCCGACAGACCTCAATATTGTGCCGTTGTTAAATAGCCTGCAAATCACTTTAGAACAATAAGCTTTTAATACTGTGCTATTTAAATAGCCTACAAAATTACGTTCATCTTAAGCAAACGGGCTACATTTCACAATTCGACATCTGCTAGAAACGACACAGTTTAATTCACAGTTCCTATGTTGATGTTTAAAAAGCAGGATAAATTGAGCAAAGAATGGCTCCAAAACTTTGTGATTAGTCAGGCAGCAGGCTACTAACAAAGTTCAATGAAGTAGACCTGCAATTTTAGCTAATTTAGACGTAGCCTATTAGGTTATTATTTTATTTCTGAAGACTATTTTTGCTTTCAATAGATGGAGCATAAATAACTATAAATAGTATATGTAAAAATCAAAAAATTCATCAAATAGACACAAAAGGAATGGGGAAAAAGAAAACCATCCAAAATATTATCAATAATGTTCTTTATTTATTTCATATAGAGTGCATATTAATGAACATTTCTGTAAATATACCAGAATTAGCCATGACAAATGTTAAGAACACTCATAGCATTGACTTTTACTATAGAGGGCTTAAGTTATTACATTTTATATAACTGAATATTAGTGTGCATTTGCATTAGTGTTACATTATATGAGCAGGTGGTACTGACAATAATGTTTAGCTTCAATATTTGGGAGATGACTGACTGTTGCAGTATGTTAGTATATATCACACGATATTGACAGAAGAGTATAGAAATAACACTTCATACTTTAGGTTCCTTTTATTTTTTGCAGTCTTTTGTTTTCTTATTTTGGAGAATATATTAGATATTAATTATAATTTTTGCAAATAGGCTATCCAAAATAATTTTGTTGGTCACTCACCTATGTAGGCCTAAAAGAGTTGAACATGATTGTACTTCACAGGCATAGACTGTATGGACATAGCTGACTAGCTGCCGCGTTCCATATAGGTGATCATGGGGATGCTTCCGGCTCCTTCTGACCCTGGCTCCAATGGACGTACATTGGAATATTGTCACCCCTCTCGGTGTACTGTAACTGATGCAGAAAGCCTCGTCATTTTGGCCTTAAAATATTCATATTGACCCACTGTACATAATTAGTAATAATTTTTAATACGCCGTTTTGTCCACAGAAAAATTGTTAAATTCTTGGTTCCAATTTCCCCCCATAACTGCTAGCTTCGGTGAGCTTCATTTGGCCATAGCCAAACGCTATAAATTATGTTACACTCCCTTAGTCCACTTCTTTATACTGTTTATGCTCTCTAGCATCCTTTCACATCAGGGGATTTTATTGTGTTCTGAAAGCAATGGAAGTCCCTTTTGCCACCAGTTTTACTGATTAATTTGACGTCTGTGATGATGATGTTATGGGTCACAGCTTTGCACATGTCGTAGAGGGTAAGTGCGGCCACAGACGCTGCAGTCAGTGCCTCCATCTCCACTCCTGTGCGGCCTGTGGTGCGACATGTGGTGCTGATAATAGCGGCGTGCTGCTTCTCATCCAGCTCAAATGTGACAGTAACATGATCAAGGGGAAGTGGGTGGCATAGTGGTATCAAGTTTGAAGTCTGTTTTGATGCTAAAATCCCTGCTATTTGTGAAACAGCTAACGCATCACCTTTAACCAACTGGTTCTCCCGTAAGAGTGAAAATGCTGTGGGACCTAGTAGGACTATAGCTTGAGCTGAGGCTGTTCTACATGAGGGAACTTTCACGCTAACGTCCACCATGGATGCCCGGCCCTGGGCATCTGTATGTGAAAGCTTAGCATCTGTATCGGAGCTGTGATGGCATAGTCGAATACTCTGGTGTAGTTTGGCATTAGGTGGAAGTGTGCAAGAAATGGGGGCAGGTTCAAGTGGGCTCCTGCTCGTATTGGACCGAAGGTGTCCATATATATTGGGGGAAAAGACACGGGTGGGCTTTGTTGAGGCTTTCCAGTCAGTAAGGCACAAAACATCCTCCGAGTTTAAAATATGGTGGAGACTAATTCTTCCAGGATGTGTGGTTTGGGGAAGTGACAAATGGCCTGTAGGAAAGTATACACAAAAAATAACAGCTTAATAGAAGCTAACATCAGTACAGGGCAAAGCAAGACAGGTTTCACTTAAAAGGCTGTCATCGGGAAAGGGTTACAAAATAAAGCTCCATGAGGCACCTAAATACAAATGTCAATAAGCCAAATACTATGTCTCAATATACTAACAAATCATTTACATTAACACTTCATTAAAAAGGTGCACTGTATAACTATTGGTCAGGGAGCCCATCACTTGCTTGTCTTCATGGCCTTATGCCACCAATCTTTACAGATAATTGACATTAATGATACAAATACTCTGAATTATTAAATACATTGTTACTGTCACCTGGAGACAGATAGATGTCATACTGTGGAACATTCCTAATTAGCAAATTGTGTTCACTGACAATGGCTGTAATCTCCATAGAGACAAGCAGGTAGCAACACTCCACCAGAAAAGTTACATGGTGCACCTTTAATGTGTGTGAAACTAGTACCTTTAATTTATGTCAAAATTGTTAAAAACTTTGCAAGATTCATCACCAAATCACTGTTTGTATATAAGTAGAGTTTTAGAGATACTGAGCCATGAAAGCACTATCAGTCAACAGCAGTGCATAACACACTTTTGAAGAATATTGTACTTTTTGTGGTGGCTCGTAAGGGTATACGTACACTGTCACCCACCAATGAAGATCATGGGCCTGTTTTTCATTTGGGAGATGTTGAACATCCCTGAAATAGAAAATACAGTCATGTAAACCAGCGGTTCCCAAAGTGTGGGGTGGGACTAAAACTGGATTTAATTTTTTATTGATAACAGTATAGTAAAATTAGGTCAAATAACACACAAAATTATTTAAATTAATACAATTCAACTTAAATTGTACTATATGAATTAAAGTTCATTGTACACTGTTGGTCCCAGCCTGAAAAGTTTGGGAACTCCTGGTGTAAACTGACTAGACCTGGTGACCTGTTGTGCCGGATTAGCATACCTGCATGCTGCTTCTTCTTTCTGCCAACAGCTGCTCCAATTATCTGTAGTAACTCTTCATCTGACGCACCAGAGCGTATGGCATCACGCAGGGACACCTCCGTGTTGCCAAACAAACACACCTGAATGATTTAATGTTAAGACATTAAATAATAACAAACAAAAATCCAGTCATGACTCGAAATTCACCTTGAGGTTGCCATCCGCGGTGATTCTTAAGCGGTTGCAGGTACCACAGAAATGTTCAGACATGGAAGTGATGAAGCCCACCTGTCCTTTAAAACCAGGAACTTGATATGTCTGGTATGGATAAAGCATATTAAATCAATAAATAACTTTATATACTAAAATAAATACATAGAAAAAGAATAATCAGACCTTAGATGTGTCTGTTGGCCCTGTTTGAACCATTCCAATGTCTGGCCAGTGCTGACGAATCTGGTCCAGCATCTCCTGATAGCTCACCATCTTTTTAAAATTCCACTTGTTTCCTGTAAAAAGGCAGCGGTACATTGAAAGCTAGTTTTTTTATACTATTTTATACTATCTATCTGCATTAAGCAGTAAGTCAGTAAAGTAAAAAAAGAACTCACCATCAAAAGGCATGTACTCAATAAATCGCACCTCCACAGGCTTCTTCTCTGTGAGTGCCACAAAATCCATTACCTCATCCTCATTAAATCCTCGCATTACCACACAATTGACCTGCAGGGAGAAGGACATGACAAGTGCCTATTCATTACTTAATACTGACATAATGTGCGTATGTATGTTAGATTAAATTGGCCATTCTGACTTGCATAATGATTCATCATGTGTGTAGCACTAAGAAAATATAGAGCAGGCAGAGCCAGTAAACATACCTTCACGGGATTATAGCCCATTTCTATTGCCTTGTCAATGCTCTCCATGACTTTGTGAAATCCTAGAAACAGATAATAAGAAATAAGATATGTTATAAAGTGTTTGGACCATTTGTTCCAGGTGCACGTGTATATGTGTGAGCTCAGCAGTGCAGGTGTGTGAGACTAGGTGAGCAAACAATTTTTGTGTACATTAGGTCATGTTTCTCTCAGCGTTTTGGGAGTGTACGGGTCATCTTAAACATCTCACTACAAAGTGAGTATTGAGTAGCTGTAGTACCTGTGAGGTATTATGAGGTAGTATTACCATTGTTTTAAGTCCATTTTACATAACAGCTTTAACCATTTTGTGATTTGAGCTACATGCTTTTGCTATGGTTTACTACATATTTACATACCCATACCCATTGTAAAGATTGATATTTGTGAGCACAACTGCATATAACTGTGATGTAAATATCTATTTATAAATAAAAGACAAAAGAAAACTAAAGATCATAATTATCCCATTTACCTTTCCGTCTGACTATAAACTCAAACTTGGCTGGTACCAGAGTGTCCAGGCTGATATTGATGTGGCTTAAACCAGCCTGCTTGAGCCGGGGCAGGGTCCTGGCAAGATTTAAGCCATTGGTTGTGACAGCAATGGTTTTGAGTCCTTCCAGTTTCCTTAGTTCAGCTTTTGAAAAAGAGAGACAAAATGAGTTTCTTTCTATGTAATCACATCAGTTTGTAGTGGCTCACATGACATCTCACCAGCTTCTCGTGAAATGACAGAGTAATGCTTTTACTTAGTCACACATAATTGACCTATTCAACAAAGACTTTTCTTCTATGCTACTATGGTAAAAACAAACAATTGTTTATAAATTAAGATAATGGAGGTATTTTAAACTTCCTTGCCAGTCACATGTGTACTATAGTTTAATTTGGAGGTATGCATGAAATAGTTAACCATTTAAACGTGCAGTTCTTGTGAGTGACCCAAGGGTGGCATTAGTGATATCATCACAGTTAAATGCTTCTAAAGATTTTATAGAGGGCACAACATTCTGGTAAGACAGTGATAAGTAAGTAGGTAATAGTACTACTATATAAAGTGATAAGTAAATGTAATAGTACTATCATATGCTGCCAATATATAGTATAGTACTTTTCAAGCTATTCAAAGATGCTTTACATTTCAGGAAAATGAAAATTTAAATTAGCGTATAAGATGATTGTTACAAGTGCTAAATCTAAAGGAGGATGTATTATATTGTATTAGTATCATGACACTCTCAATGCAATTTCTTAAATGGGAATTAAAGTTAAATTTGATGATGACATCCCTATCCTCACCTATAATATCAACCACATCAGGGCGGATAAGGGGCTCTCCTCCAGTGAGACGAATCTTATCAACCCCCTCGTGTACAAAGAGGCGGGCTATGGTCAGGATCTCTGCAGTGGACAGCAGCTGGGCCTTTGGCGTCAGCTTCACTCCATCCTCTGGCATGCAATACTGGCCTGGTCAAAAAACATAGAAATGATAGTTTTTGACAATAAACGTATGAAAGAATAATCAATAGCAGTAACAAATGTATTGCATAAAGGAAAATAAGATTATGTGTGTTATGTATAAGTGTATTTCATAACAATGAAAGTAAAAAGATCACTGAAATTATTGACTACGCCACATAGGCCTATAATAAATATGAATAACATATGGAATTTATTCCCATAACTTTGGGCCTGAGACTGACTAACAGTGTCTAATTATCATCAAGTCTAATTATGATTAATTTACTATGTAATAGATTTATTAGAAATAAAAAAATATATATTATGAAACAGTAATAGCAGGCTACTGCTGAGGCCGTATTAGTGATAACAGCTGTCTAGTAACAGCATCAGTATTGGCAAAAGTATCTGTAATTTTAGTTGTGTAGTAAAGGAGTAACTGGGCATTCATTTTTACATTCTTGATACCGGTACTTTGTGACTAGTATTCAAAGTGTTGAGTTCTACTTATAGTTATAACTAGTTCAGGATTACTTTAAAACTATCCTCTTTTTAATCTAAGTCATACTGGAAAGACAAATAGTGTATTGAATGAGGTGTTGCAATCAAAAAACATACTTACAGCGGAGATTGCACTTTTCAGTCAAAGATATGCGCAGATATGAGTGCCTCCGGCCAAACGTATCGGTCAGGAAGGCTGAAAAGGGTTTGCTGTCGTCTGTAAACCTCTTCTGCACATGCAATACAATGGACAATAGCAGGTGAACTTTGACTGTCAAGCTTGTCAACTTTAAGCAGCCCAAGCACAGGTTGTTACTCATTAATGATTATGTTTGCAAATTAAACATACAACAACCACACAGAAAATGACACTAAATTAAGTTTAGTGCGGCCCTTACCTGTTTCAAAGCTGTTTTGATAGAAAATTTGTACTTGTGAGCAGCTGAAGTAGTGTCAATAGATTCAAGTTCACTCTGCTTTGGGGCAACGCTGGGGTGCAGCTGTGTGTCCGAGTTTGCACCTCTTACGCACAGTTTTCTAAAATATTGCACACGTCTATGTCCGTCCAAGAAGCGGCAGAACAAACTAGCGTGAGTAGCCATGGTTTAGGATTTGACAGCGCCGCGCGATGTTTACGAAGTCGCCCCATGGAAGTATTACGAGGTGCCCTGATAAGAGTCAACTTCAACCCGGTTATAGTGGGAGGAGCGTCCGCCAATAACCAATCAGCTCAAGGAACAGTTGTGCTGATGAATTCTGGGTAATGTAGTAAAAAAGACGATGCTTTCTCATTTGTCCACTAGATGGTAGTGCACCCTTATCTGCATATTATAACAATGCTGACCAGTGTTAGTTATTGACAACCAACACAATGCAAGTTTATAGAGCATGTGCACACTGGAAATAGGGCATAGACTATGTTTTTAGATCATTATACAGGCCCAATAACGCATTATCTTATATACAGTCTATGGTTTTACTTTTTACTTTATGCTTAGTATTCACACCTGAGACACCTCCAGTTGAACAGATTGTGTCAGCTGACTATAGAGGCAAAGCACATCACAGCCAGACATGCTATGAAACGGGCTTATGTTCACCAAAGACAAAAAGAAATTAATATCTATAATAAAAATATATCCTTAAAAGTGTATCCATAATTAAAATCTTACATAGAATACGGCAGTGTTCCAAGTGAAAGCTTATGTTGAGAGAGAGAAGTGAGAAGTGACGAATAAATAGATCTAAAATAAAAAAAGAAATACATAAAAACATACCATTAGGAAATAAGTTTGTTTTGTTTTTTTAAAGGTGCACTGTGTAACATTTGGTTGGGGTCTGTCACCTCCTTGTTTATGTCAGTGCCTGGAATGTTCCACAGTATGACATTAAATTTTTTACATTACAGGTGGTTTTATAGCTCAAAAATACCTAGAAAAACAGCCACTGACTATAATCGGGATTGCCTCTCCACAGATCTGACCTGTAACTTGGTCTTGTTTGGTCTCCATGAAGATAGAAAAGTGTAATGCCATACATGCCAACCAAAGCAATAACATTTCCATGAAGAAAAGCATTTGCCAGACTCTCCACCTAAAATTTACAAAATGCACCTTCATTCAAACAATTTGTTATGCATTTTACAATACTAAACTGTGTAGACTGACATGATCCTATTGTGCTGCATATGATCAGAGGTGATGAGAGCAGGTGGTGCATCCAGAACGTCATTAGTCATAGGAGACTGTCATGCTGATCTGAATGCAAGCGCTGTCACACTTTGGGTTGGTTAGGGAAGGTGGGCACCCTGTAGCTCCATGTGACTCTCTCATCTCATCTGATCCAGCACACAGTGTAGAACTGAATCAGCTCAGCACACAAGTCATATCAAATCTTATTGTTTTGTTTGTTTAGATTTGACTGTTACTAATTGTCATCTGTTACTAATCATTGTCAGTCATCAAGTAATCGTAATTCTTTCCCTCATTTTTATGGAAGCATTTGTTTTGAATTTTAGGTTGACACCTTGATTACACTTTCAGTCTTACACAATAGTTCGAGTTATGGGCTAGTCATTAAGCAGCAAAAGAGAAGCCAGTTGAACTTAAGAAATTAATAAAGTAGAGACTGGGGAAATATAAACGTTTACATGCCCAACAAATTCAAATTTGAAGTCTTGTCTGTCAGATTCATTGCATAAGACATGGTACACTGCACATAATGATGATACAATACAGTGTTCAGCTAAGGTGACTTTCGTGAATGTGCCTTTTATTAGACAAGGCATAGGCTCTTATAGAGGCATATATAGGCATATAGGGCTACACAGCTTATGTTCTCTCATGTAGACAGTATTGAGCTCAAAACTCAAAACACAATTGTAGGACTATTAATCATATTGAACAGATGTTTTCACTCACTACTTGAATTACTTACATTAAAATATTTACTGAAGTTATCACTAAACATCACTGGTCGAGTGTTCAGATCCACTGGCTCACAAGTTGCTCCTACAGATGAATGCTGCCATTGTGTCCTTGGGCAAGACACACCTCACCCCCCACTCTCTACGTACACTGGTGAATGACTGTGTGTGTGCGTGTGTGTGTGTCCATTTACCATTTACCAAAATAAAATAAAAACATTTGGTTTGTCAAACTCAAGAGGAAAAAAAGTTGGCAGTAATTAAAGATATCATTTTGACCTTACTCTGAAGGCAGGACCTATGCATATTCATTGTCCTATCTATAGCAATTCTCTTGAGCTAAGTCTGTCCTTATAGGCTTAACCCCCAACTTTGTCTCATCCACAGGGACAACTCTGAAAGACACAGGCATAGAGGACAGATTTGGACATTGATTGTTATGTATATAGATTAAATAATGCAATGTATGAGGGACATTTCAAGGAGGTAAACGAAGTAACATACTTTGCAGGTGATATCATTACTCTGTTAGAACCTTTGTTACTCTAGTTAGACTTTAATCTCAGCTTTACTTTAACACAATCAAAGAACTCACTTAGCTGGAACTACAATAGATGAGATGATTTGAGCTGTTAAATAAGTCTCTCACACCTTTTTTGTTGAAAATCAAACACCTTAACAGACCATGCATGCTTGTATTGATCCCAGGCTCCTGAAAATGTGTTCATATTGTCCATATTGTATTTTAGAGATACATGTACAACACCCCCCGCATGATGTCACTGCAAAGTATCAATAAAGAACAATTGAAAACTTGTGTTCTTTCAAGTGTCTGAAATCCACTGTAAAAGAGATGAAAAATTTAGCCTAGTTATATAAAAATGTCAACTAAATACTGATAGTAGGTCATTATTGGATTAAAAATAGCAGCACTGATACTGCAGTAGTGCTTTGGAAGTAATGGTTGAATCCTTTGACTTTAGACTGTGTGGCTATTCGTCTTTCTACTTTTACGAAATAAGTGTAATAATAATTCATTACATTACATTACCTTCATTTCAGCCATCTTGTAGACTTTTTACAGTGCTATTATTAACTCCTGCAGAGGTGAGGCTCTTTCCACTTTTTCACAGATTAATAAAGAGGTACTTGGCACATGAATTATTTAGTTTTAGCTCCTCGGGATTCAGAACGTACTAGACTCATTCACTTAACCACATTAGAATTCTCTCAAAGTTAATATGAAATAAAATTAGTGGATAAATTGGGCTGTAATTCTTAAGTCCTTATATTATTTAATTAAAATGAATAAAATGCTGAATATGCACTTATTCTTTTTTGGGGTATGAATATTTCAGTCTGTTTGGGTTCACTGGAAGTTTAAGTTTTTCTGAGTGCCCCAAATTTTGTTCATGGTCAATGAGTGAGCATTTTCTGTCAAGTAATAGGGAATTTACTTGTTTGTTTACCTTTTTAAATTATTTATTTGAATCCAATTAGATGCACACTTAGCTACTCCTTTGAACCTTTGCTCTACACACTGATTAAACTTGATGTTGTACATAATATAAAAGAAAAAGCCAATGTATAATTATATATTATGTCAACACAGAATAGTTTTTTTGTTCTTTGACACTTTCAACTGTAAATTTCTTATTTGGAAGAAGTCACTTTGTCAGCCTTAAAGGTGTACTGTGTAACTTTTCTGGAGGGGGTCTGCAACCTGTTTGTTTCCATGGAGATATTAATGCTTTGGTCTAAATTGTCCCCTTCATGGTATTAAACTACCGTAATTTCCGGTGCGGTTACACATGGATCTAGAGTTAACATGAAGTTGCTATACTAGCTAGCGATATTGTCAACAGACTCAAATAGTTTATCGTCGTGTGATAAAATAAGTTATGATGCTAAATGAACATTAGTGAGGGGAATACGTCTTACCCCTATGCGTAAACAACGAGAAGAAACGTCTCAAACTTCAGTAGCCGGATCCACTCATACCTGATTGATATAATTAGTCCCGCCCCCGAGAGAGTCTGAAATCTGCTGAAATCCTACAAGACTCTGACATGATACAGACATGACAGAGGCTCTTTTTGCAGGAGACATATGCAGTAGAGCGTGGGGAGAGACGAGGTGATACACTGAGGAAGATGCTGGTTTGATTGTGTTTTGCGCTCATACACACACCCTCCTCATGGAAAACACACGAAGAAATGCAGATGATGCAGCTTTTAACTTAACGGCAGTTGATGTGGCTGTGAAAGAAGGAAACAGAGTAGATGGTGAGATTTTAGCGACGGCAGCGTGACGAACTGACTCAATAAAAAAAGATGACAAAAGCTTTCAGAGGCAATAAAATCAGACTGCCTGAACTTGATAACGTTCTTGAAGACGTGGACACCTCTGGCTTATATTCAGGTGTGGCCTATATATGTACAATTTTAAAATTTTGTTAAAATTTAGTTGAGGCGGCTTATATTCAGGTGTGCTCAATAGTCCGGAAAATAAGGTACTCAAAAATATCTAAAAAAAAAAACCATCCATTCTTGCTGTGAGTAGGGTCACCTCTCCACAAATCTAACCTATAATTTGGCTTGCCAGTCTCCATGAAGATTCCTACATTAATGGCCATATTGTGGAACATTCTAAGGACATCTCCATGGAAACAAGCAGGTGACAGACCCTGCACAGTGCACCTTTAAGTCATTTACATATCCATGTTAACATTTGTCTTCAACAAGAATCAAAATTGTTTAACTTTTGTTTTGAATTTGTGGTACTTTGTGGTACAGAAGTCTGAGAGCATACAAACGATGTCTTTGATGGGCTTAAGTTGCTTAGTTTAATTGAGCTTTAACCTGAATGGGTGCTCTGCCTCTTGCGTACAGTGAGCTCCTCCATCTTCGCCTGTAGAAGAAAATGTACGAGCTCTGGGGGCACTGACATTTTAAAGAGCAATTTGGAGGAAATGGATGTGAGTGGAGTACCAGCTGAACCATGTGATTGAGTTTTACCCATGTTCACAGACTAATATTCAGGGGTGTTCAGCCCTAACTCTGCCATATATATGCACTGAACTTACCACAGGACTTTCTGCATGGAAATGCCATGGAATGTGTAATAACGTTACAGGGCTCATATTACACTGTTTTCTGATCTATGTTATCATTTCTCATCACAAACATACCTGAGATGTGACAGACTAATAATACTCAAACATGTGTGAATGAAACAAAACACAACTCTAGGTATATT